ATTTCCATTGTGACAGTTTTTACGCAACTTTCAAGTTTAATTTTCGTAATGTATTAAAACAGTTTTATTACTAAACATAAAACTTTAAATATATTCTTTTAAATTTAATACGTACAGACAAAATACATACTGTGAAGGCGTTCAGGATTAATAAGAAATATGTGAATTATATGAATCCATTATTACCTCAGAACATTGTAATTGTAAGCACAAATAAATTACGTTTTCCAAATGTTTTTAAATCAATGGCGCGAGACAAACTATTGTACTCATTACGCAATAATTTGGTTATGAAATGTAAATTAGATTCCAATATAATGAATACTATTTTTGAACATTTGCAATTTTACATTACCGAAATGTAAATTAAATTCCAATACAATGAATAATATCTTTGAACATTTCCAATTTTATAATACTGAAATAAAATAAATTTATAATAGTACTTTTGAACATTTACAATTTGGAAATAATTGTATAGATTTTTTTATTACCAATAAAGTATATAAAAACATTCTTGATTTAATATGTTTTCCACAATTAACAAAAGTAAATAATATTACAAAAGATTTATTTAGTATCGTAATAGCTTTAAAATTCATTGTAGCGTACTGAACAAAAAATTTTAATATCAAAACTTCATCGACCGCTTTTTGAGTGAGCCACTCATTACCGAAAAAGTTGATATTAATATGTAGAGTTTAAAAATAACAAAAAATGGTGCCGTCGATTGGTATATTCGAATAATTCGTTGTATTCCTGCAAATTGAATTATGATCTTAACTACAAGTAGGGTTTCCCCAAATGCGTCAAATACCAAAGTACTAGGTCAATGATATCGACCTGCTCACCTATCCAAGTAAAATACACACATGTATTTTACAGGGTAGTGTGAATTGAAACTCCTGGTGGCCAAAAATATTAAAAGGTTCCAAATTAAAAAATTTTGATTATTGCGGTTATAATTCTTATTAATATTTCTATTTTGTTTGATAATTTCATTCAGAGTACAAAACAAAATTTCATTAAAAAAAATCATTATGTCATAAATATGAATTATAACCGAATTAGATTTTTACGGTAAGTTTATTTTTGTACACATTATTGTGATAATTAGTTGGTAAACAAAACTGTTATAATTACATTTTGTTTTAAAACTATTTTAACTATATTTACAAGATCACAAATGAATATAAATGTTTCATTTTCGTTTGCATATATAATTGCAAGCAAAAGTATCTATTTTCATCGTAGAGTAATTTTGAAAAAATTCATGATTCTTAAAAGTTTCAATATTTTCGTATATTTAGGAATTTCAAAATTTTTATGCATTTCGAACGTTTCATTTTCTTATAATTTTTAGATTTTTGGCGTTTTTATGTGTCAAAAGTTATTAATGTTATTATTCACTAAAATGTTTATAGAATATGAAATGGCAGCAATTTTTCTTAAATCTACATATTACAATTTTGGAAAATCTACATCTAAATATTGAAATAGGGTAGGGCAGGGCACAAAGGTTCAATTAACTTGAAGTAATTATATTATGAAAACCAAACCAATTAAATCACAACAGAAAACACATATCAAACAAACAACTATATCTGACTATGTTCAGTTAAACTCCCAGCTAATAAAATTCATCATTGTAGAAACGTGCTTTTTTGCTATTTTTCAAAAATTTGCCACCTGGTGCTTTTTATACCATAGGCGGGGCAAACAGGTCCAATATCTTATTTTTCATTGTAAAGGAATTTTACCAAATAAGAGCTGCATTCTTCAACCATTGAAAAATAGAAGTTCCATGGGTACATTTTTTATAGAGATAATACTGTATATAACCTAGATCTGGTATTTCGTCAGAAATAATCAACAGCAGAAGCGGAATAAGTATTTATTTAACTTATGTATCGTCAAATAGTTTTTTAACAAAATTTTGTTTTTTTATTACCTTTGCTATAGTAGAGGCTCTGATGATCCTGTTTACCCCACCCACATTTAAGCTTTTATAAAAATTTTATAAAAAAAAAAACACTTGAATCTAACTTCAAAATAATAATACATCTTATAAAATATTTAAAAAGCGTTAACCTAAAAATTATATCAAGGTCTGAAACTAAACAAAAGTGCTCACAACCAAAAAAACTAGCAACGACAAAAACATTTTTGTTATGGATTTTCAAACATTTCCAGTTATCTCCGGAAAGGGACGTTTTAAAAATCAAGGTGATGGTGTGCTATACATCTTTTCCCCTCTACTTTCAAATATTGTTGTTAAAAAAATTCATGTTTTAGAGTTTCACTTGTTTTAGAGATTTCAATGGTTGACCTCTTTACCCGCGGACCTTTAAGCCCTGCTCTACCCTATTTCTAAAATATTGTGGACAAAGTTAAAGCAAAAATGATTTTGGACAACACTGCTCAGCTTGTATCTAGTGCATGCACGTGATAGGCGGAAAATGGAACAATGAAAACCACCCCGAACGGACTGCGTCATTCAAGGTATAAACATGAATAAGGCCATACTAATACTATAGCACATTCATAAATAATTAAATGTAATAAATTATGCAAACATCCAAAAAATATTCATTTATTACTCATTCAATAATAAAACGCAATTATTGATAGTTAATAATAGCAACTATGATAATCATTACGATAACGTTGGTTATTAATGCTAATGATATTACTCATGTATTAAAAAGCCAGATCAATTATTCAAAATATTAATGAAACGTGAATTTATTTACGAAATTTAAAAATTTTATGCTGAAAGTAAAAATACGCAACAATTAGAAACATTCACAATTGTTGCATAACAAAAAAAATAACACATAAGCGTCAAAATACTTAATTACTCATTGCTTAGTTGCATATATTGATATTAAAAAGATATTTTGCATAGATATATAGAGATGGAATATTTCATAATATTGGTAATTTTTATCTGATATTTTGCCTTTGGGGGATAATATCAGCTTAATGAAATTATAATAATATATTTCAATTCATTTTCTAATAAAGAATTAACTTAAATAAATAATTATTAAAGATTTATTTATTTACTTTGTACCTGTAATGAAGTACACGAACGTATGACTACAATGTATATAAATTAAACACTATTTCACTAATTTGATTCGTATTTTTTTTAACAATTAGAGATCTGAGATTGCTTACAATAAATAGATATTATCAAATCTATAAAAAATGTATTTCGAAATGAAGTAACAGAGTTTAAATAACATACATAAATTATTTACTCAATTTCAGATGAAGTTTTTTGAATATATACCATATATACATTTTAGTGTAATATATCATTATTTTACAGCGTTTTAAATTGATCATTTATCGCAACTTTCTTTAAGTGTGAAGAATAAAACAGTGATATAATATACTATTATAGCATATGTTTCAAAAACGAGCCGATAATAAAATAAAGGAACTGTTTTATTTTAAATAACCTCTGCTGCTATTTAAATTTTGGCATAGAAAACGCTGCATATGCATTTCTATGACTAACAGCGTTAAACATTTGCGTCAAAGTCATTTCAAATATAAATCGTATACCGTAATATTAACCACCTAAAATATTATAGTATTTATAAAATATTGAATTGCATTCGAAAATATCGATTACACTTATACAATATATATCTTTAATTTTGAAAATAGAAAAAGGTTTTTTTTAAAAAAAAAAACACCAATCCATTTTGTTTAATGAGCAAGGGGACAATCGAGGACTAGGCAAATCGTCGTCCAAAAAACTTGAAGTATTTTGTACGACTTACATAGATAATATAACGATTTATATTGCTAATAAAAATGCTAAAGCATTCTGAAGGTTTTTTTGGGTTAAAATAAGCAAAAACCAAATAATCCATCGAGAAAATTTTAACACTAATAACCAAATTATATATTAAATTTATTTTTGTATCTTACAGGAGATCTACCACGACATTTTTGATCCCTGATCATAAAATAGGGATCAAAATTGTCTACCAATGGCAACAAAATATTTTTGTATTTTCATATGATTATTTCAAGCAACGGCAATTAATAGTCCATTCATTATAGTAAGTTCACCCCGGAATTCAAGATAACCAGCTGATACTACTGTAAATACTTGTATATTGACACCCTAAAGTTGTCCCAAAACCTAAATATGGTAGGGTGTCAATTAGGGTTTATACAAAAACCGACATTTTACAAAACCGGTTTTCGAATTTCAATATTACTAAAAAACCGGTTTTAACCGGTTTTCGAATTTTATATAGAAAATAAATTTTTGCTCGAATATTTTGTAATTTATCCGCAATTTTAGAGTAATTTAGAGCAGTATTTGATTTATTGTTCAATTTTATAGATAGTAAACAAAAATTCCTGAAATAGAAAATACTCTCATACTCGCGACCAAATTATGCTTAATTGTTTTTAAAGCCTGATATAATAATTCTAAGTTTTTTGTTCTTTAATTTGTGGCTTCTAGGGTTTAAAACTCTTTTTTTTAAGTTTGAGTAGAGGAAGTTACTTCTTCAAGAAGATGTCACACTGATTTAAATTAATGCATATACTGGTATAAAAATCTAAATTAATATATACAAAATTTTTCTGGGAACCATTGCAGACTAATAAGATATCAAATGCTATTGAACCGATATGATTTCAAGAATCAAAACGCTTTCATCTATCTTTTATATTTGGCTATATTTGGCTATATTTGCCATTTTCCATTTATACAGTAAAAACCGACTTTTTTCACTTAAAAACCGGTTTTCGAATTCAGTAATTTTTGCCAAAAAACCGGTTTTTAGTGTCAATACCATATGTAGGTTTTGAGACAACTTTAGGGTCTCAATATACAAGTATTAACAGACTACAGCTGGGTAACTCAAATTCCTAAATTCTTACCTAATTTAAGCTTAAATGACTAGACTATAAGATACACTAGTATTGCGGAAAAACGGAAAAACTACAAATAGCGGTCTGCTCACTTGTGAAAAGCATTCTTTTGGTTCTGCCACGCTTGGATGCCACTACAAATCACCATGCTAGAGATAGCTACAAGATCAGGTCAACACACGATAGTTATACACTTATATAGCTCGAATGCTTACTTCGAACTAAAGGAAAATCACAACAAATAACGAAACACGTTTCAACTCGGTCAACACATTAATTAGATTGCACTCGGTTCCAAACGAATCATCATATACGTACGATTGTGTAATCGTCCAAGTTCATAGGTTGGAAGAACGCAGGGTAATAAAGCGATTAAAAGTTAATTAGAAGATTCTTGCAATCGTGTGTTATCACTAGATAATAATAATAGTCACTGTTAATAATAAACTTAATCTCTGGTAAGCGTTCATTGGTGAATTATTTTACCCAAATTGTCTATTAATGGCACTCATAGAAAATATTTCTTAAGTTATTTTAATATGCTCAGGTTTTGATAAGCCGCCGTTATCAACTGTCAGTTACCTACCTTGGAAACGTCCGAGCCAGTCGTAGCCGAGCTTTCCGCCGTGAGGAGGGAGCGATTTTGTGTTAATTATCCCCGCCACAATTTTAAATTGGTAAGCACATACTCATATATATCTGCCAATGTGTTGGATAATTTATTGTTATTGTTTGTTTTGTAAAATGCTTTTTAAATGATCATAATTCGACGCTTTAAAACCTCTCGTAAGAGATAATTTATTGATCTGCTTTATGTCTACAGAGTCGTTAAAATCATATTAATGGAGTAAAGGTCGTTCAACAAGAGGAGATAAGGTAACTAAGAAGGTATTTTTATAAGTTTCTAATAAAACTTAAGTAGAAAAAATTTTAAGTAATTGGAAACAATTTAAATTGTTTAAATTTAAAACAAACCTATTGATATAGTATACATAATAATGACAACATGCCCTGCTCGCTTGCCAGAGGTGCTCGGATCGAGTCCTGGTATAAAAATGAATAATATATATTGATTTTATTTTATTTCTTTTTTTAATAATAATCAGAACATTCGTTATATTCTATGAGCTATTTTGATTGACATTAATGAAATTTCATTATAGATAGTAGTTACCCCAGTAGGTATGTACTATGTGATGATTTTTACTAGATCAAATTAATTGGCCATAATTTTTTTTAGCTGTATGAAGCAGCGGAGCAACGAGTGAATTAGAGTGATTTTCTATATCATATATTGAAATTGAATTGTAATATTGAATGCTTGTAAATATGATAGACACGTAATATGTAAAATCAACAGAATACTAAATAAGAAGCAAACGATATAAAAGTAAATGCTTTAACCCTTTGCCTTCGTATGTCAACTCTCAGCAACTACAGCAAAGAGTAAAAGGGTAAAGAGTAAACGGGTAAAATAAAGTGGCTAAATCCGTGGTTTCCAACCTGTGGAACCCGCTTTTCTAGGGGAGAACCACAAGGGCATATAGATGATTCTAAAAAACTGTTTTAGAAATTAGAACAAAAATTTTTGAGATGATATAAAAAACTAGTGGTGTGTGGCGTTAAGGAAAATTGCTAGAACTTCCTGTATCGAAAACTAAATCGTTAAATAAAACTTTGCAAAACTTTGAAAAAAATAAAATTTTGAGATATTTATTTGTAGATTTTTTTGTATTTAGATTTTTCTGAAAATTCTGAACATTTTCTTTAAGCAATCGCGCTGCATAGCTGATTTGAAGTCGAAATATCAAAGCGCTTAAGCGCCGCGAAGTTGTCTAACGCGTAAATATTGGTACGGAACCCATGTAAATGTAAACAAAATTCGTACTTATTATTATAATCTTTATAAAATATCTGATAAAACAGTGCACATATGTCTAATGTTCATTTTTGACCGCCAAATGGCATTATTTTTTACTTTTTCTATTGGATTCCCGGAGACGCTGGACTGCCTTTACAAAAATTTTACCAGTTGTTCATTTAGTCAATACAGAAATACCATTTTTAGCACTTTTTGCCCCGTATCTCCGGAACGGCCAGACCTTCAAAAACTAATCATAACGTCTCCTTATCAGTAGGAATCGAATGTTTCTTGAATTATTGAAATCGGTTGATCCGTGTTCGCAAAATCGTCGACGAAAATTTGTATCCGCACACACACACATACATCCATTTTTTTTTCAAGGCATGCCAAAATGTTCAGAAATCTCTAAAACGTAAAGATACTTAAAACTTTGATTTTCGATTTTTTTGCGATTACTATAACTTACCTTACGGGAAGTTAATAAAGCAAATATAATATACACATAATATTAATTACATTATTATGTATTATATCAATTGAGAATTTATGAAATTAAATTGTTAAAAAATTAGAGCAACATTTCTTTTTATTAGAATGGGGGTGAGCAGTACGAAAAGGTTGCAAACCACTGGACTAAATAAAAAACATGGTATAAAATAAGAAAGAATGAGAAAGCAGTATATATTTTTTTAGACAAAATTACCTCAAATTTAAACATATTTACTTCTTAAATCCTATTCTAAGAACAGTTTAGAATCAAATAATATTTAAGAAAGAATTATAGCATGATTAGATCACATATTGTTACTCAATATTACGTAATAGATTAAGTTTTTATTGGTATGTACCAAAGTTCATCCAATCAGTCCTAAATGATGTGAACAATCTATTCTGTCCTATTCCAAAAACTAAATTCATAATAAAACGTAAAATTTTTCTACATATATTTAAGATTGTTTTAATGCCAATTCTATTATGTATAAGTTATATAATGTGTTTGGTAATTCCAAGTGAATTGAAACACAATACGCATTTGAAGCTATCAATAATAAAAAAAAGTATAGGTAGTGCAATTCAATGAGGAGTTTTTCTACTATATGGCCTCATGAACCTCGAATATACATTCACATATTTTAGAGTATTCACACCACTCTTATTTGAATTTGATGGTGGATTTTTAGTCAAATAAAGATAACTGGTTGATTTAAAAATAAGTTTCATAGATAGCGCGCGAAAAACTACGAATATTTACTCACATTTGAGTGGAACTAGATATGCGCCAAAGATTATATTTAGACTTACAAACTAAATGGCAAAATACTTGATGCCTGTTAATTATCTATTGTTATTGTTTATATCACTATGTAATGTTTATTTTTGGTTTTTCATAATCAACTTTTTCCCCATCAGGTGTCATGCTACAGACAATAAAAAAAAACTTCAATTGGCAAATTATATAATCACAAAATTTAAATTTAATATATAAAATTGAAAAGGCTTACTACTGGGTAACCTTTTAGATCTAATGTTCAATATTTCATATATCATCAAAATTACTGAATGTCGTCCTTTTTGTAAAGACAGATTGTAATTCAATAGAGGGAAAAAAGGCAAATTGTAAATTCCCTAAACTAGAACAGGTACAATAGAATTTTGAAGAACGATTGGTTCCAATAAGAAGTGCCCATTATCCTAACAAGATGCTACTGAACTCAAAAAATTGATTCACATGGTGTACAAATGTTTTATTATACAGTATTTAAGTAAGTAAGATCAGTATTTAAATCTTTAATTATACATAGTAAATATAGGTTAGATGATATTTTGGAATTGTATTATGAGTTTGAGTAAGGGTTGGTGTTTTATGCAATTTTCTCCAAATGGCTAAATTTTTGGACATGCTAATGATTACCTATAACATTTGATGATGAACTACATTATTACATATGACCATGGTGATGGGTCCTACAAACCAGCAGACGAATTTCTTGAAAGATGTCTGTCTAGCAAGAGGAATAAATAACAGTTTAAAACTATTGTGAATCAGTTTTTCCACCGTTACAATAAATTATAATGGGTTTTATAAGATAACAGGAAGTATCTAAAATTCCTGTTGAAACACTGTGCTAACTATAGTATGATCACACCTTGCTTTAAGTTACTTGAGCATCCTTGCTTAACTTTAGTCACCCTGCATTATGCAGTTTATTAAATTGTTGATATGAATTTCATATGGGAATATTCTCATTTATTCAGAATAGCTTGAACAAATAATCTCCTCAATACATTGAAGCAAAACTTCAATACTAATAGGTAGCCTAATGTAAGCATTATTCGTGCAAAAACGAAACAAAGAACATGTTTATTTATAAACAGGAACGTTCGCCCACGAGTCGACATAACTACAGACTGTGGTGTATATCCAACCCACCAAAAATTCCAATAATTGTCAAACAAGATCCTATTTTACATTTTGAATAACAACCAATACATTGACGATTTTGTTAAAAAAAATAAAGTAATGAATTCTTAATAATTCTTGAATATGTGAGTAGGTGCAAATTGGAATTCGTTTTTATTTATTTATTTATCTTGAGCAGAGATCAGAATTTGAGTCATATAAGCTCTTCTGATGATTCAAATTGCAAATGAATCAAAATAATTTATAAATTATGGATAAGGTTATAAGTATAACATTTTTATCAAACACGCAGAAATTTGGTTAATAATAAAATATAAACTCATATAATACATGAGGGCTTGCTCTCCAGCCTTTAGCAAAATCTCAAAAATAGAGGACAAGCTACACTATTTTAATAAGAAGTGATCAGAAGATTTGAAGACATGAAAATATATTGAAGACTAGATAATTTTTAGCCAGGTATTTTTTAACTGGGGAAGACTTGCACAAAAGCTGCACTATTTTAACCAACTAAAACATTTAATAAAAAGTAAGCAACAGTATTTCTTACTGGAGACCAGCTGCGCTGTTCTAACCAGCTAAAACGTTTTGTAACCAGCAGTTTTGGAGAGATAAAAATATATTTAGGACCAAGTAATTTTTAGCAAGAAATTTTCTCACTGAAGAGGACCTTAAAACAAGCTGCACTGTTTGAACCGACTAAAACATTTAGTATCCTTCAGATTTGAAGAGATAAAAATATATTTAAGACTAGGTAATTTTTAGCAAGAAATTTTCTTACTGAAGAGGACCTTTACACAAGCTAAACTGCTTAAACCTAGAACTTTTAATAAAAGGTAAGCAGCATATTTAAAGATCTAAAAATATATTTAAGACTCAATGATTTCAAGCAAGGGATTTTCTTACTGTCCCCTCCAGTATATACAAGTTACAGAAGCCTATATACAAGTTTCAATATGAGCATATATAAACTTAAAGAAATGGATAAATGGATTGTTTATTGTTTATTTAAAACAAAAGATAAAAAATCTGTTTCAAATCATTTTTAATTTTTATGAAATATGTTTTCTCCTCGTAATTAGTATCTTTAACTATCTCCCTCGTGGATAAGTAGCTACAGCCAGAATCAGAGATCTCATGTTCGAGCTATGGGAAGCCTGATGTCAAGCAGTAGTAACATCGCTTTTCACTTGGAAATATAGGTAGTAATATGGGAATTGCTGCATCAATAATAATGTTGTCCCTATTACAGAAATTATAATAATAGAATTTATCACACAGAGATGAGACAACTGTTTGGGTTGCCATCTGTAAAACCGATGTAGTATTGAGTCAAATACAAGAAGCAATACCTATCAGACCATGGTATGACGAGTTTACTAAGATTTAACCATACATACACTCATTACTGAGTAATAATTGGAATCAATACCGATCCTAATTACTATTGCTTGGGTGGAGCGACTAGGGCGGATGCTAGGCACGCCATTATGGAGTGCAAAAAATGAGAAAAGGGTAGGCAAGAACTATGGAGAGAGATAATAAGGCACAAAATCTTCCTCCCAACCAATTTAATAATATTATTGACAAAGAAAAAGATATATGGTGCACTATATAATTATATACAATAAAAAAAAGTGTAAAGGTAACATAAAATGTATATGCCTAGATAAAATAAAATGTATATGATTATGTACGTGTATACAAAGTCAACAAATAAACAATAAAAAAAATGAGTCAAAAGCAAAACAGCTTATAAGACTCGTAACTTCTGGTTGCTATTCAAAAAACAATAAAAAAAGGTTTCACAAAATGTTTTCTTTTTGTAATCAGTATCAATAACGAAAATCTCTAACAATTGCCTATCAACGTTGCACTAATTACCAGTAAAATATTGTTACTCTTATACAATATACTGTTTGCAGTTTTGCTGCGTATGAAAAATTGCATAATGTGACTACAAGTTAGAAAAATGTAGAATAGTTAATGGAAACAGCCGTGGGATGATTCCATGCTTGATTCACAAGTATTTAAAGCAGGGCTTCTTAAACGATGGGTCGCGTAGAAAAATTCTAGTATCGCGAGAGTTTTCAATGTCAAATATTTATCATCTTAAAACATCTCGTCTAAGTTAAGACTCCATATATATTGGTATAGTATATTGTTACCAAATAAATAAATCATCTAAATATAATATTTTTTTTTATTTATATGCATGAGGTCATTTATCATTTTTAATATTTTTCACTTTAAGAAAATATTCAGAAGTACTCTTAGCAAAATAAGGCCGTTGTAGTGTAATGATTAGGAGCGAAGGACAGCATAAATATCTCGACCAGCTCGATATCAAGTAGTAAAATAATAAATTTCACTAATAGTTATAAATCTCAAATATAATCTCAAGTAAAAATCGCCTTTCGTGGACATTGTGCGGCATATAGAGGCCATTAGATATGTGGTTGACCACTGGGTTGTCTTCTCGAGAAAAATACTAGGTTATGATATCAAACACAGCTCATGAAACTGTGGAATCAAGGTGACTGGACATTGGGCTCGTCGAGAAACTCTCAATCATAAATTCGCAAAGGACAAAAGTTTAAGAAGTCCTGGTTTAAAGCGATATTGTAACGTAAACAGAGGCGTTGTCCCGCATTTTACATCCTATGTAAAATATTTCTTAAAAGAATAACTACCTACAATAAAGTATCAGTAAGTTGATAAATTTATCATATAATAAACTTAATTAGGAAAAAATATGAGATTAAAAAAGCAAATTATTTCAAAACTTTCAACTGTTGCTGAGTATTGTGAAACTTTTTGCAAACTAATTTGATTTCAAAAATTTTAATCTTCCCTGTATTGATTAAAAATCCAAAAAATCTCATACCCCAATAATTGAAATGTTAGTAAACAAGAATCTTATAAATCTTCAATAAGAATCTTATCAGTATTTTGAGCGTTCCCATTTATTGGATGGAATCCAAAATTGAGATTTGGATTCCTTATTAAAAATGTAATATTATAACACCTCTTTCATAAAATTTTGGACCAAAATTGTCACTTATTATCACTTTTTACCACCGTACTCCTAAATATAATTTTTTTAAGGTATGGCAAACTGATCAGAAAATCATAAAAAGCAGATATAAAAAATAATTCAATGCATTCAATTACAACATTGAAATTTCAGTAAAATTTTAAATTTGTAAATAGCACATCGAAAATTTGTGATTACAGCAGTGGTTTCCAACCTTTTTTGCGCCGTGCCCCCCTGCTCTAATAAAAAAAGTCAACTGATATTAACAGACTACAAATTAATATGCAATATTATGTAAGAATATGCATAAAAACTAATTATTTTTTGTTTATTTTTTAATATCGTTTCAAAAATGTTGAATTATTTTTTATTCTGGAAACAGATGTACGTGCCCCCCTTAGAAGAGCCTGGCGCCCACAGGTTGGGAACCACTGGATTAGAGTGATAATTTGTACTAAAAAATACGGATGAAAATTAATATTATGAAATGAAGAGAGCAAGAAAAATAAACTTTAATAGTTTAAAGTTAATTAGTTTAAATATATAAGTTTAATTTTTATTTTACCTTAAAAAATATATTTTTAAGAAAATAATATTAAGTAATTTTGAGAGTAAATTTTAAATAAAATTATTTCCAAGGTTACCCATTAGTAAACCCTTTCGCCGTTGATTGATACATTGTATAGTTATATCAATTGTTTATTAGAAATAATAAAAATATTCTTATACCACATGAATGAAATATGTATAGATGACATAATAAATACATGTGTAACATTAGAGTCTACTAGATATCAAATTGATCAAACATTTCATAATAAAGGAGAAGGTATTTTGTTGTTGCGTTTATGGTATTTGTATGTAAACATACTATGTATATAATATATATATATATATATATTATATATATATATATATATATATATATATATAACGTGATAAAAAACAAAGGTTTTTTTTAAAAAAAACATTTCTTCATTTTCACTGTAGACGTTTCGGAACTAGGTACGTTCCATCTTCAGGACATCTGTCAAGAAACATGATCTTGATAAGATTTAAACAAACAATATATTTAAGAAAAATAGAAAAAGGAGGATTTTTTATATAAAATGAATAACATTGTGGAAGAAATAACATTTCAGAAGTATGACAATATAATCAAAATTAAAGTAATGAAAATAAATGAATGGATTATATAACAAAATATTAAAAATATTAGAAAATTTTAGTTTTTTTAAAAAAAAAAACGCTTAAGAAAAAACAGAATGAATTACCTTTATGATTGATTATACAGTAACACTTTTTCACTAAAAACGATTTAATAAAAAAATGTGATTTAATAAATTTCTTTTCAGCCGAAAAAATAAAGTTGTGGCTTTATTCTTCTAGGAATGTTAATATTGCTTAGAATTTAGCAGATTGTAGTATATTCGAAAATTTTGATCTATTCCTCAATGGTTTTCAAGTGTGAAACATGTAAATAATTCATTCATGAATTGTTAGATTTTATCCATGCATAAAACCATTGAAACTGTGCATATAATTTTATTTTAATACAATATAATCTTTATTGAAGCTGTTGAAAGATTGATAACTGATTCTGACAAGTGATAGGAAATACGATGGTATCCAAAATTGATAGTGTTCTCAAATGATAGTGAATGAATGAATCTACATAATAGCGCTCTTAATTTAAACATATAAAACCATATGAAAGCATTTAATTGACGTGAATTAAACAAAAATGTACACAAAATACAAAGAAATTTTAATGACAAATGAATAATGTACAAAACACTGTGTTATATCTGTTTATGACAAGCATTTTAGGCTATTATCAAAAATTAAATATTAGCGATGAAAAGCCCTAGATTAAAATCGAAAAGCACAATTTAAAATTTAACAACATACCTTAATTCCAACTTGTAGTGTTTATATATGGACCTGTTTACATATATTTACATTCATGGTTTGCACAATCACAACACTTTCATAACACAGAGTCTATCAAATATTTATTCTTCAACACTTTGATCATTATTATTGAAATTACAACACTGTATTATTTATTGAAACTTTCGGATGTGTTTGTCACAAAATATTAACAAAAACTTTAGTTCGGCAGCAAGAGATACGACGCGTCCGTAAACTTCAAGGCGTTGAGTGAACTGAAGTAAACTATTTACTGCTCACGGTATCCAGACCTGCCAATGTAACAATCACAAAGTTATATTGATCTTGCTTCATGATCGCTTGATAGTTGTCAGATGGCGGGAGAATTTGAGAAACGCCCTGTATCAAAGATTTGAACCTGATATTCATACTTTTATCTATTGGTTTGAACGTTAGATAACAGATCATGATAAGATTTTTGTTATTACTGTTATAAACTATAAGTTAAGAGGATGGTATTAAAAATCAAGAAAACAAAATAGAATAAAATAAATTAAAGAAAAAAATTAGAATTAAATAACTGAATAAACTAGTGGGGCGCATGCGCATGCTTATATATCTATGAGGCACATGGCATCGTGCCTTAGAGCAAATTGCTGGAACTACCCGTACCAAAAATTATTTTTTTTAAGAAAATTTGAAAAAATTTTACTTTGAAAAAATTAGATTTTTGAGAAGTTATAAATCTTTATTTTGAAATATTTTGGAAGTTCTGAACTTTTTTTCAAAGCAATCGCACTGCTTTAACTGCATAGATACGAAGCGCGTAAGCGCCGCGTCGCCGTCTAAAGGATAAACATTGGTACGGAACCCATAGGAATGTAAACAAAATTTATACTTATTGTTAAAATCTCTATAAAATATCTGAAGTAATTCAGTCTTATACTAATCATAAAAAAACTTTGAACTTAAAAAATTCTAATCCACATATTTGTCTAATACACAACACTAAAGATAATAGACAAATACTGCTACAATTATTTTTGTTTGTTTTTTTTTCTAATTTTCTATTTGGCAATAATGATGAAAATACTCTAAACATATATAAATTATTTTATATAAAAAATATATTTATTAAAATAATATTTATAAAACGATTCCAAAAATATCTAAAATTTACAATAAAAAGGTATAAAAACGCGTAAAAAAACGATTACAAACACAATACTGTTACAAAAACACAGGACGATATCAAATGTTATGTACAAAATGCTTGGCAAAAATAATCGTTGTAATAAAAATACAAATTCTTAAAATTTCTTAAAATCTTCAAGCTTCTTCCATTTGGCACCTTGCTCCACCGCCTCCTTGTTCATGCTCTAGAGATTTGGACAGATAAGAATATTCACGAGTATTTGGAAGTCCACTTAAGACGCAAGCACTCAGTGCAGAACGATTCAGGTTCATACTGGTGCAGTCGAACCAGTCATTGGTTTCTGGATCGTATACTTCGACGTATGATATTGTAGTTGTACCTGGAAAATTGTGGACTTTTATAAAAAATCAGGCATAATATGAAACATTGCATTATATAATTGACTATGTCATTATGACTGCCATGAATTAACCCTTTCCACTCGCGAATTCCAGAATTTATATGTATTTTGCCGCCCGAGCAGCGGCATCCGAGTCGAAAGAGTTAAAAAATGTCTTCAACGTCCATTGGTAAGAGTCAATTAGAAATCATTCATATATAAATAAATAAAAAAAACTAGTGGGGCGCATGGCATCGTGCCTTAAGACAAATTGCTGGAACTTCCAGTACCAAAAATTATTATTTTTTTAAAAAGATTAACATTGTTGAAAAAAATTTACTTCAAACAAATTAGATTTTTGAGAAACTACAAATTTAACAAAAAATTACTTTTTTTGAAAAAAAATGCCTTCGCCAAAAACTAATCAGCACGTCTCCTTATCAATACGAATCGAATGTTTTTTGAATTATTCAATTCGCTTCATCCGCGTTCCCGAAATCGTCCACGAAAATTTGTATCTGCAAACACATACATACAAGCACGCGCACACACACACACATACATCCATTTTTTCTAAGGTATGCCAAAATGTTCAGAAGGTTTTGAAACGTGAAGATATAATAAAAATTTCAATTTCGATTTTTTTGCGATTACTATAACTTGCTCTACGGGAAGTTAAAAATATACAAAACTAATACTTGCCAATAAAAACCTTATAAATACTATGTTATTATTAAGGTAACCATACTTCCAGTATTGGGAGGGACAGTCCCGGGCACGCCTAGGACTTTGACCTTATCTACTGGATTTAGATTTTGTATCTCATTTTTTAAGTCTTTAATTCAAATAATTAAAATATGGTTACCTTATAATTATACAACTTAATACTAATTCAAAATATTTTTAATTGAGCTTAATACCGTTATTACCGTTGAACCCCCCAATGGCAAATATCATTCCATCGAGTACAACAGCTGCAAAGTTACTTCGTGGACTATACATATCGGCTATAGCACACCATTCGTTCACACTATCAGGACAATATCTATTACAAATTCAAACACATTTAGACAAATTATAGCCTAATAAAACGGATTTTTTATCATTTTCTCGAACTCACTTTTCAGCAGAATTTAGTCTTGTAAAACCACTAAAACCACCAAGAGCGTATAGAGTGTCTTTGTGTGCTACTAAACTCACGCCAGATCTGGGATTGTTCATTTGTGGTATGTACGTCCACTGCAAAGTAGAGGGATCGTAAACTTCGCCAGACACTAGTACCTCTTGTCCATTGAAACCTCCGACAATGTAAATCTAAATGTCGCAGATTATTATCAAACGCAATTGTTACAAAAGACAATTCTTTTACCATAAAATTATCATCGATGTAATTTTTATACCTTATTTTTAAGTGAGGCAGCGCTCGCATCTGATCTTTGCTTATTCATTGGAGTCACCATTTCCCATTGGTTCCTGGTGGGATCATAGCGTTCAGCGGAGCACATACGATTGCGTCCATTGTAGCCACCTAATGCATATACCCAACCATCTGCAAGATAAAAAAATATTAAAATATAATAAAAAGCGATAATTACATACCCACCAATAGAAAAAATACAACAAAATACAATTTTTTACCATGAGCAACAACGCTAACGTAACACCGAGCGTGATACATGCAGGCCCTTTCTTGCCAAACTTTGGTCAATGGATTGTAACACCGAACTGTATTGAAATGCTCATTGCCATCAAAACCACCGACCATATAAATAAGATTATTAAGGGCACATACACCATGATATGCACGAGGAGTCAGATCTGTGTTCACCGATAGAAACCATTTGTCAGCCCTGAAGCAAAGAATAACAAAATACAATACAAGCATAGCTGGGCACCGTTAATCAAAAAGTTAACTTCGTTAATCGTTAATCCGTTACAAAAAAAGTTAGCTTCGTTAAACGTTAAAACGTTACATTTCGGAAAAATTAACGCAAGTTAACGTTAATCGTTAATCCGTTAATATGTGTAAAATTACATTTTTATATCGTTGCGTTAGTAAACTTAAATAACTTATTGGTTTAGGTTCTGGAAGTTAACAGGTTATGAATAAAACAAAATACTTGTATAATTCAAATGTGTAATTTAACCCCTTAATGGCGCGACACGCTTTATGCACACACCGTGATAATAACGCTATTGGTCAACTTTCTGTTTTTATGATTGCATATTGTTTTTACAAGAATTTTTTTCTAAATAAAGGGAAAGAGTTTTTTTTGCGAAAAATAGGAAACCCGCGACGGGTTAAGCGTCGGGTATTAGGTGCATATTTCTCTTCATGAACATTAACATGTTGAAGTTCTCGTCTGAAAGCGAGGCTCGTTTTGGTGTCAAAATGTCTTTACCCGTGGAAAACAAACGTTCAACTGCAGCGCTTGAGGGTATAGCAGTATTGTATTTAATAAATTGATTTGTGAATATCTGTTCCCCGAGGAATGCAACATCGTTGAACAAGTCTTTTGAACAAGTTGGCACTGTTCATCATTCACGAGTGGTCCAAATCTTATCTCTATGCCATTTAACAAGGCATTGGCTAAAGCTGTGCCGTGCGGTAAATAGTAGGCATTGGCAGGGCCGTGCCTGGGTATGTGGCCGCCTGCGTGCGAGCATATAAATGGCCGCCCTTAAAAATAGCATAATAGGAAAATATCCAATATGTTCTCACGAAAAAAATCGTCTTGTAATTTTCATGTTTTCTCGACATATTAAGTCATTCTGAATCGTTTGAAAGCCGATTTTTGACGTTTCGCCAACGTTTTCTCAAAAACGGTTAAATCCAATTCAAAAGTTTAAAAGTCATTTGATGTAACTAGATAATGACTAGCGTCTGTCAGTTTTGTGCGACGATCGGCCAAGCTGTTTCTAATCAACAGAAAAATATAAAATTTATTGTACACCTTTTAGCCAAAAATTTTGCATCGATTTTAAAAATTCAGAAACTGTTTGAAAGATATCATTTAGGAATCGTGCTGATTAGTTCTAAGAGATCGGTCGGTTCGTTTCTTCGTGTTTAATTACGATGATATTTATAAAACTTTTTTGGCGATAGTGATCATGGTCTCTAAGATAACTAAATATTTCGACCCTACATTAAGGGGGTATTCTAGTGTAGAGCGCTGAATTTTAGGTCATTTTTAAAGTGTCGTAAAAGAAAGCAATGAATGTTTTTACTATCCATTTTTTTACCATTTGTTTATTAATATTATTAAAATACAAAACAAAAATTAAAAAATAAAAAAGTTAAAAATTGTAAAAACTGGCAACTGATGAAGTGGGTGGTCTCAAAAAATTGGCACCTCAGTCTTGACATGATTTCAGCCCTCCTAGCCATCGAAAATGCAAAAAATAAAAAGATCATTAATCTACAATAATGTCGCAATCGGCTGAACTAGCGATGAGTAAAAAATTTTTTTTTTCACAAATTGGCGACTGTTTGAAAAAAAGTTTTTTTTACTGTTTTTTTTTTGAGTTTCTCGACTTTTTTAAAAATAGTAAAAATATGAACTTCGGAATGATTCTAGTTCAGACTATAGATAGATCTATAAACAAGACTATCTGAAAATTTCAAATAAATTGGTCGAGTAGAACTCCAGAAATCGTGACAAGAGTACTGAAAAAGTCTGTTCTGAGAAAAACGCATTTAAAGTTTTGCGTGAAGCCACACCAGTATGGAGACCGAGTCAGTAAAATGCCTATATCTCCAAAAATAATTCAAATTTTCAAAAACCTTCTTGTACTTATATTCTTAGATAGTTAAACTTTGAAAATATGAAATAAAAAAAAAAATCGATTTTTTTGAATTTCTACACTAGAATACCCCCTTAAGTCATTTTAATTTTTAAAATATGTACTATCAAAGATTGCAAAAATGAGCAGCGCTTTTTTACGTGAGTCAAAATTTCATCTTCAGTCGACCTTTTCTCAAAAATGCACAATCCCATTTGAAAAATCATCAAAATTCGTAAATTCGATAAGCGCTCGCGCTGCTTAGTTTTGCCTTTAGAATTTTCAAAAAAGTCTCAAATTTTTCGTCCACGTTATAGCCTACACTAGTGAATTGATTTTAAAAATTCAAAAACCATTACAAACGTTTTCCATTTGAAAATCTTGCTGATAAAATTTTGTCAATAATCGACGAGTCGTTTCTCAATTATTGATTAACAAATTGCTTTGGAAATTTGGATCTTGTTTTTAATTTACTACAGTTTGTTTCTTGTTCAATAATATGTAATTTTCAAACTATTTATAAAAAATAACTAATATTTTTAGAAAATTTGTACAAAATTGAATAATCTGCGATAGTTTTTCACATTGCAATGTACTCATGAATTAATATATTTTCATTGTTAAGACAATTATTAACACATGTTGGATACTTCATGCAACTTGATTTAGGCAAGTTATAACTTATATAAGTTTATAACTTATAAATTATTTAGAAACAGAGTCGCATTCAATAGGGCCGTATTTGGCTGATGTTTACTACGGTAATTTTGGTCTTTTAGATATATACAGCGGACTTTACGGCAGCGAATGAGTTCAGCGGACTTTGCGCTTGGCCGCCTCTTAATACAACAGTCTTTTAATTTGGCCGCCTTTTAATTCAGTAGACTTTTAATGCGACAGCTATTTATTTCGACCATTTTTTGTTATGGCCGTCTTTGAATTTGTTCTTTTTTTCATTTGGCCGCCCCTCGGCCGCCTGCGTGCGGTGCACGCGCTGCACGCTGGCCAGGCACGGCTTTGGGAATTGGATTAACGATTAACGGACTTCTGGCATTTTAACGGAAGTTAACGTGTCCGTTAACATTTTCAAAAGTTAACTTAAAAGTTAATCCGTTAATCAAAATGTTAACTTCGTTAATTAACGATTAACGGATTAACGAGTTAATGCCCAGCTATGAATACAAGTAAATAAAAAATCTAAATTCCAAGAATTGTATGAATTGTACCTTGTATCATACGTTTCAACAAAGCTGGTTGGACTTCCTGCACTCCAGCCGCCAATAGCAAATAAAACCTCATGAGGTATTCTTGGTCGAGCCAGAGGATCATTAAGATCTGTCTCACCACCTTCAGCTTTGGAACTCGTTTGCGTCAAGAACATGGATGCTGGATAAAGTGCATCTAGGCATTTCTATAATTTAGATAAAATCATACAAATTAATTAAAATTTAATATGATTACAGCAATTTTCTTGCACATAGCTCTGCATTTATCAGAATGAGGTAGAAACTCATTAAAATAGTCAACATTTTAAAATTATGTAAAGGTTGGGTGTTTAAGTATATCTACCAGGTGAGTATTATATTGACCCAAATAGAAATAGCAGATAATTTTTTTTCTCTTTATAACGGTTTAGTCTAATGGTCGGAGAACTTTTTTAATCATCACCCCAAAATATTTGATATTACCCCCATGGCAAAGGAAGACTATCCCCATACGGACAAATACGTAGCAAATTCTGTAAATATCAATCAAAAATATATACTTTTTACCCCCAAAAAATCTATTTTTACCCATTTGGGGTAATTTACTCCTGTTCCCCGACCACTGGTTTAGTCAAACAATTTGCAACTTTTAGGCTGGAGATACTCATCAGTTACTTATTACCCACAAGGTTGTTCTAGAGTCGACATATGGTCGTCACAATGGGCTGCAGGTTTGACCATAGGTCAACCCACCCATACCATCATATACGAACATAGATTTCATTTCATTATATTTTTGTTACCTGTTTATAAATTGAACATTTTTGTACAAGACTCCATAAATCATTATAAATAGGTCAAAATTATTTGAAACCATTAATTGTGTGTTCATAAAGCAAATAAAATTTATTGGTAAACTTACTGTACTAGTGTTTATAACCTCCCATCTAAGCACATCAGATGTAAAAAATTTATAGGTCATCAGTCCAAATCTCACGGTAGTTAAAAGTTCGGGTACATATTGGGCTCGATTTTCCCTATCGTAGTCGGTCCAAGTTTTGATGGCTTCAAAAACGATTTCTTCAGTTCGAACGTTTAACTCATCATCTCGCAATAATGCACTTAATTCCTAAAAACAAACATTAAATTTATTGTACCTTTTATAACTAAAATGTACGTAATCTAATTTAAGGCATATAATCTTAGAAATAATGTGTTTAATGAGGACTCTCTCTTCCTTGGTTGCAATTTTTTATAATAATATATTACAATTTTTATAATTATATATATAATCTAATAAGAAAGACAAAATGATAGTCTAATACTAAGAACGCCAGAAAAATATTGATAAACTTTTTGCTTAGGTGGTTGAAGATAGCTGACGGATTTCAAAAATATATAATTATCATCATTAATTTGTTATTAACCTGAAACTGAAGGTGTCGATATTCCGGACTTTCATGCATAACTGTCTTGAAATTTACCAGTGCAAAGTGCATGGAGTTATACTCTAAATCTCGGCAAAAATAGTGTTTGGCAAATCGAAGAATTCCAAGGCAATTGTCTATCCGAAGTTCTTTACTTAAAAAATTGCAGCACAATTGGATTACGCCAAGGACCTAATAAAGTGAAAGTTATAATATCTTCATGAAATAATATAAATTATAATCATAAAGAATACATATCGTTAATAAAATACGGAGTAAAATCTATTCTAAAGATAGTTTGCTGCTATTTTTTTTTATTTTCATATATATTTGCACCTATTACATAATTAAATACTAACAATTTTTTGAATAGTCAATAAAATGTCTAAATCGGATGCCAATCCATTGATTGGGCGTCCCCGGTTTGATGATATTTGCAGCTAAAATACTGCTTTTTTTAAATAGGTGTTGCCTATTTTATAGACTCGAAGGAAGAAGTAAACAATATCAGTTCAATGAAAAATTCAAAAACACAATATTTTTACATTTTTGTTAATTGAATAAAGACTTGTAAATTACATAAACTTAAGAAATACAGTTAGTTTAAAAAGGACATCTGTTACAATTTGAATAAAAGCTACTCCCGAAATTTCTAAAAATAAATAGTATTTTCAGATACATAATGGTCTGAAAAATATTAAAAAAATGTCTTAAATCGTATCAAAACTTGTATTCTTAAAAAGACCTCATATTGATCTGCAGCTGGCAAAAGTGCCTCCACGTTTTCCGAATTGATCGTGCAAGTTCCAGTGTAAGCAAAATCTAAAATTGAAGATAATAACTCAACGTCTATATCTACGCTAACTTGAGTTTCTTCTTTGCAACCACTTCGAAGACTGTTGGTGAAAATTGCTCTAGAAAACACGTGATTAGTTTTTAACTTTAATATGTTGATTTTTGTATAAAATCTCAACTATAGTTTATATTCAATTTAAAATATTTAAATTTAAATTAATATAACTACAACTATGGTAACATAACGGTCATATCATATCAACTAATTTAACCATAAATGAACCGAAACACTGATAAAAAGGTTTACTGTTTTTTTTTTAATTCGATAAAATATTCCTAATATGTGATACAAAATATATTGTATCATACCCCACGTATTACTAGCTTCTTGGCTACTTTTATAATTTTACATTACATAATTTTTAGTTTTCAATTTTATATAAACGTTTCAATAGAAGCCATTCGTTAAACAAGCGTCCGCAAACAATGACGCACGTGCTATTTAGTGAATACACATATGTACTGCAAAACTGCAAAATAAATGTAATGATTTAATTAATTTTATAATAAATAGTTAAATATTTCTCTTATATAGTATAATTGGATAGTATTTATTTATTAACAATATATAGAAAAAGATAGAAAGCTTATGTCGTAAATTAAAGCAAATGTGTGTATATAGCATATATAGCTACAATATTCACATAAATATAATAAATCTAATAAAATAAAAATAATATTCACAAAATTATAATAAATCTAATAAAATAAAAATATAGAACATTCCACTTAAAGCAGCTTCATTTAAAGCTGTTTCGATTTGGCGCTCTTTTATTTTAGCCCAGGGATTCACCAAAATATAAAATCGTAGAGGAAATAGCGGAAATAGTGAAAGAAACCGGCTTACGTGAGATAAATGTGAATGGCTAAAAGAAGTCGAACAAATAGTTTAAAAAACTAATATAAAGTGGATAATAAGGTTTGTCGGTTGTTAAGAACCGGTTTTCAAAACCGGCATTCTGACGAAAATCATGAAATTCGAAAACCGCTTTTTTATCAAAAATTTTGAATTTTACTGTACAAATGGAAAATGACAAATATATATTTCGTATATACCAGATGGAAGCAAGCATTTTGATATTTTGATTAAACAAAAAAATAATTAAAGATTTGAAGCTAATTAATTAAAATTGTTAGAAATAGAAAATATTCGGGGTTTTGCTTGATTGTTTTAAACTAAAATTGACATTAACCAGCATGTATATCAATATATATCTAATATATTTTTTAATTAAAAGTTAAAAGTTTTTTATTTAAAAATGTATTATTTTAATTCATTCAAACTCTTTCCTTTCACTATCATAAAAATATTTATATTTTCATATGTGAGAATGAGGCATGAATAACAAATAATTATTTCCAAAGTTATTTAATCCAGACCTATTAATTCTTTGTATTACTAATTAAAATTAAAATAAATTTGTTTACTATTCATAAAATTGAACAATAACTAAATTCAGTAAAAATCTCCTTTAAATTACACTAAATTTGCCGATATTTTTTTTTGTTAATACAGAATATTCGAGCAAAAATTGATTTTTTATATAAAATTTGAAAACCGGCTAAACCGGTATTCTGAAAAATTTACTATTCGAAAACCGGTTTACTGAAATTAAAATAAATTTGTATACTATCCATAAAATTGAACAATAACTAAATTCAGTCAAAATCTCCTTTAAATCACACCTAAATGTCGATATTTTTTTGTTATTACAGAATATTCGAGCAAAAATTGATTTTTTTAGATAAAATTTGAAAGCCGGCTGAAACCGGTTTTCAAGAAAATTTATTTTTCGAAAACCGGTTTTTTGAAATGTCGGTTTTTGTTAAACCTTAGTGGTTAGTCTGACTGAACAAATTAAATTTTTATTTCTGCATAAAAAATAAAATTTACAAAAATAAACACGGTTATTAAATTTTCCCCATTATTTGCAAGTTAAGATAACTTTTAGCGTTGTCTTACACTCTACTTTTATGGAACGTAACGTAATAGATAATTTATAAATAATAATTTTAAAGTTAACCCTTTCGACTCGGGTGCCGGCGGCAAGATTCATATAAATCTCGGAAATCGCGAGTGAAAGTGTTAAAATGTAAAAAATGTATGTTATTACCTGAAATATGGACTAACAGCCGATAATATTGCTCGATGAATCTTAATAATTCGTCCATCTCGACATCGAATAACTCCATCGCACAACTGGTCATTCTGTCGCAACTCATTCCAGACGTCCGGAAATTCTCTAGGGCTTCCAAGGGCTCCGTGGTAAGAGACACCGTCATCAGTTGAACATTGTGCATCTAAAAAATAAAACAAAATTTCACATTATAATGATTTTTAATTCAGATAATTATAAATTATCAATAACGCAGGAAAATATACAGCACACTCCAGAAAAAGGGTCATTTACTAATCGGTAGAGTGAGGCAAAATTTGATCGCTATCTTAAAAACCGTTACTCTGATTTCAAAAGTTTGAAAACCAGTATTGACGCAACTAAATAAGGATTAGTATTTCGCTACGATTTTCCTAGCTGTTTCTTTATAATTAATAGCAAACAAGTGTACATTTTTTGTCCGCGTTTTTACAAAAAAAAACTTCTGAACCGATTCTGAAAACTCAAATTCACATCAACATTTTTATGTATTTTACTCTCATGATATAACAATCTCTAACAATAAGGCAAAATGAGTAAGCACACTTATTGGGTAAAATTAAAACATCTATATTAACCCTTTCGACTCGGATGCCGCGAGAAAAAAGTGTTAAATTTATATTTCTCATATTATATCACTAATTCGAAAGTTATTATGTAAAATCATTTTTACATTATTTTAACTTAGTCTTCTCTAAAAAAAATTAATTATCATATAACAAATATGTCAAGATTTACCCATTGTATCTGCGTTTTCTTCACAAAAACCTTGATAAAATATTATTTTTAAAATTGCAGTTATAAAAATATTATAAAATCGGCGCATTAAAAAATTACTACAAAAATATATTTCATGACTTTTTGTTTTTAATGAAGTTGAAGCTTAATTTTGACTCGTGTGTATAAATTTTCTTAAAACTACGATTTGTTTCTCTATTATAAATTCAATTGTTTCAACGGAAAATTTTCCGTCATTTCACTTTGACAAGAAAAACATTGGATTTGAATTTTAGACCAGAATATAATGTAACTTACGGATATAAGACTCGGGATAAAGCTGTAGTATATCATATACAAGATCGCATTCATTTCATTAGTATGGATGTGATAGTCCTTACTGGCACATAATACCATAACTGCAATAAAGTAAATAAATTATTAAGTAAACAAGTATTCACTACTAACACACAAATTCAGTTCTCATTGTTGTTTGAGTAATTTCCTTTTTCGTATAAAAATTTTAATTTCTACGAAATCGTCAGACGAGAATATAAATTTTCATGATAATTTATATTGATGGCTATTGGACAATATAGTACGAACATATTTCTACAAAATCTTCCCAATGGACAGTAAAGTGAGATATAAGTACATTATCTGAATTTTTCTTCCATAAGCATAGTTCATCAATAACTGACCAAATAAAAAACAATTAACAATATCTTTTGTATCAGTTTTTATTCCACTGTCTTGGCTTTCTTAATTCATATGTTCCAGCTTCCAATTTTGTAGAATTTTTGAGTAATCATTAACACTTCAGAAACTATTTCAGTCACGCCATGAATACCGATGATACGAGTTCTTTTAATATGTTGACTTTGAACAAAGTTGGAAGTTCTCTCCACGTTTTTTGGACCGACATCAATTTTGGTCCCAAAGTCATTCAGCTGTAGAAGTAATAGTTCCTCCAGCCAACAATTGGCCTATCAATTTTCTTTTGTAAATGTTGTACAAGTAAAAGCTTAGATGAAACTAAAGTAAATATAATACTAATCCTTGCAGCTTCAGTCAGAATTACGTTTTTCGAATATGTAAGTCATTTAAATTCTGCTTGAATAAATAAAATTGATTAAACTATAAATTTACACAAATTTGAGGAAATAACACAAAGAACTAAAATGGTATTAGGTTTTATTCATAATAAATTAAATGAATGCATTTATATATAACAATTGTATTTACTAATTTATTCAAAAATACAGAAAAAATGTAAAAATAAAAATTTAATTCTGACCATGAAATGGAATCTCTGGTGTCAAAAAGGATCAAAAAAGCTATTAAAGGTACATAATATTTAGATATACAATATTTTATGCTCATGTTAACTCAAGTGAGCAATTCAACTTCCTTTATCAAACATTTAGCACAATATAAAATATTTACTAACATATTTTATATAAGCAACAGATCTAATGTCATTTACATTACAGTGTTTATACTGTTGCAGTTTAACATAAAATTACACATATTCATAACTTGAAATTTAAAGAACTTATAAAACTAAATTAATGCACTCTAATAATCATTCACTTTTATAATGTAATATAATAAACTAAATATTTTAAGAATTCTCTAGGTATTTTCCAAAACAAAAATACCATTTGGCTTACCCTAGTTTCAACAAAACATTCTTTACAATTTACAGTCAAGAGTTTTAATATCAAAATCACTCAGTCAAGCAAAATCCTTCCATTAACTGGATACATAACACAACTTTCCAATAATATTTTGAGAGCTATTTTAGTAAAAGCAAATTAAAAGCGTTCAAATTATACCAATCCATGACTGAGTATAGATCTTGATATATATACATATAGTTTTTTGTTAGATATATTTAGAACCATTCTAAAACACCAGTATTTTATACTATAAACTAAACTTAAATTTTAAATACTAATTGTACATAAATACAGAAAGTTTTCATTTTATAATTAAGAGTTCAATATGCTACAATTTATACCCATATATCCATCTTCATTCCCGGGACCACAAAACCACATTATTGTAAAAAAAATTGTTAGTATTTTTTCGTACTCGACGAAAGTACCTCAATAGTCTTGCATACTTTAGTTCAAAAAGTAATTTTCACACACTTTCACAACAGGGTTTTTGTATAAAATCTGGTGTACGGATCTTTAGGATAACCTCAGTTACCTAAAAAGAAAAAAAAAGTTAATATATTACAAATTGTAAATATTGGAGTATGGATGTGATGGAACTTTCATAGATTATTTGATTAATTTACTCAGAACCAGATGTATATGTAAATGTAAACGTCTTACATCTACTCAAAATAAATACATATACACAAAAATTCTACCTTTTATATACATACAGGTAACCTCTATATAACACGGTTTGAAAACTGAAACCATTCCTCCTATAATAAGAACCTTTTAAGGTACAGATATCCTATGTTTGAGAATTGAGCAAAATCCAAATTTAGTTTAATTTTAAAATTAGTAAAATTTTAAAAATACTATAACTAGTGCAAGGATATTTCATTTGACATTTTTTTTAGACGCGTATGTTTTGTCATAAAAAGGTCTACGCTTACCAGAGAAGTTGTCATATTTTTTAAACAAAGATTCTTGAAATAAAATAAGCGCAAAATGTTATTTAAAGAAAACTACATGTACTTTGAATCAATGAAGAAATAAGTATCTTTTCACTAAAAACAAACAATGGCAAATAACAGATTACTGCAAAAAATAGAGCATGAATCTAAAGATAGAGAAAAATTCATAGAAATATAGAGAATAAGGATATCTTGCTAAAATGATTATTTTTCAAGAAAATTTAATAATACAAAAGTATTGTATTTTTGTATGTTATTTTTGACCCAGAAACAACATTTGATTCACAAATAATATATTAGACCGCAAACATCAATTCAGAAGCATGCACTAGAAAATGCCTGGATGCGGTTGTAAAGTGCAAGTGAACAAAGCATTACTGAAGGTAATTAGAGAAAAAAATCAACCAAATAGATTAAAAAAAAAAAATGGAAAATGGAAAAACGATATGGATGTGCAAAAGAATCTTCGTGAATTACGGCAAAAAAATGTGAAAAAATAAAAATTTGGGGATGAGCAGAAGTGAATAAATAAAATTATATAAATTTTTAAGTAATAGGTCTAATAATTATAAAAAATCGTAAATTATACAAATTTATAATCAGTCTAGTGGAAGTTGAGAAATTGTATCAAAAAAGACAATTTCGAGAAAAACGCGTTTAAGTTCCGCTAAAGAAGAAAAAGGGAGATTGTGGTTGAACAGGTATACTTACAAAAATAATTTAGATTTTGAATATACCTCTTGTACAGATATTCTAATAATCTAACTTTGAGAATATGCAAAAAAAAAAAGAATTTTACCAACATACCACTTTTAGAACTGATACTGCACAAAAGAAATCAGTTTTCATAAAAACTAGGATACTAGTGATGAGTGAACTGATTCTTTACTTGCATAAGAAATAGTTAAAATCAATAGCTGCAGCAATTGTTATAGGTTTTTACGGATCAGCGACAAGCGCACATACAAAAAGACGTACAATATGAATTATGCATGCCCCAGGTGTTTTATGAATTGTATTCTACATATGTTTTATATCATGATGAGTAGAGTCTTGAATAGTTCTAAATAATTCAAGTCATTTAGAACCATAGAAAATAAGCAAATTAAGAATTAACCTAACCTGCAGCCGCTGCAATCGGCGCTCCCCTATTACTCTGATTTGGGTTCTGAGGGCCATTGCTGGATATAGGCTGTTGATTGAACTGAGCGCCACCTCTATTACTGCCTCGGCCTCTATATCCACGGTAGCCACCGCGATACATATTTCCACGATAATAACCACCCCTGCCACGATATCTGTAAAAGATTGAAAAGAATTAAATTAGTATAAAGCATGTCATAAAGAGATTACGAGCAAAATAAACAATTTTTATTGTTAATAATGACTTTGGCCAAAAATGACAAATACAACTGGACCAAGTCTAATATAATGAAATAAACTTTTAACTATCACAAGATTGAAAAAAATCTAAGTCTTTATAATATTTGGTGAAAATTACCCTCCACGTCTAGCACTTGCTACGCCAAAGGTCTCAGAATTCAGCTTTCGTTCAGTTCTCCAATCTGTTCTTTGAGATCGTCCAAGAGACCTTTCAACAGCTTCACAAGATATATTATCAAAGAATGATTTGGTCTTATCGTAACATACTTCTGTTACAGGCAAGGTGGAATTATCTTCTTCGTGTTCATTTTCTCCTGCACCTGTTTCATTTCCAGAATCATCTTTTTTATCTACATCGCCATTTACTGCCTGAAAATAGATAAATTTTTAAACCATTCTAAAAGCAATAGACGTGAAATATTAATATATTTAGTTTATATTTGTAATAAAAATTTATTCCAAAATTACATATATTATTCTGAAGAATATTAGGATTAAATAGAGAGGATTTTATACTTACAACAGGAGCTTTATCTTCAACTTTTAGCTTAACAAACTGTGATCGTAATTCTTCAAAGTGAGTATTAGCCTCTTCAAAATCATAATCGTTATCAAACTTCAATGTATTTTTAGGCCTTGGTCCAGTTGTACTAGTATTTTGTTGCCTATAATTACTCTGAAACAAAATTATCTTTTAATTGGGAGATTAAATATTTAAAATTATTAGGAACTGAATAGTTACTTGTGCGCCACCTCGGCCACGACCCCGTTGTCGGCTGTTTCGCTGATTTTGTCCTCGTTGACTTTGCCCATGAGATTGAACATTTTGCTGATTTTGTGCCTGATTTGATGCTTGGGGTTGTATCACAGCATTAGTCTAAAAAAAAATTGTTTTTAAATTTCAATTCAATTTATTCGAATATATACTATATTACCGTCTTATTTCCTTTGCCTTGTTGCTCATTTGAAGCTCGACTCTCTGAACGTTCACTTTTTGATTCCTTGCGTTCTCTCTGAAAATTAAACATAAATAGGATTCATAGCATGTTTCCACTTCCATGTTTATTATGTTAAAATGTACTTAAAAACTATCAAGTTTGAAGAAATATTACTTTTAAGCTCCTTACACAAAATAAAAAGCTATCTTGTAAGTAAAAAAAATATACTAACAATTACAAATCCAAAATTTAATAATTCAAAACTAACTCATTTATTAATATTCTAAAGCAAAACAAATTTACTCACATTTCGATTTTGATTTTGGCGTTGCGCTGCATTACCGCCTCCTCTCTTAGCACCAGGAGCACCTAAGCCAGGAGTGACCTGCACCCCTTGATCTGAAGTTGGCGATTTGCGAGCTCCCATGCTGACTGGTGTTCCGCTGCGAGAGCCACCACCTCCGCTTAGTAATTCTAAAACCGAATCTGAACATGGGTTGAAAACATTCAAATAATAAATGATTAAGTCTTAATTAGTAATAATCAAAAATATTTTTAACAATTTTAATAAAACTGGGTTTTGCAAATAATTAAGATCTGGTGTGACACGAAGTTTACATAAAACATGCTCATATTTACATATCAATGGTTCAAGTATCAAAATTGAATTTATGCAAAATGTATTTTTGAATATTAACATTAATTTCAGCATAAAACGTGCATTGATTTAAATTAGCAATTTATTAAAAAATTTAGCCAAAACACATACCACATGTAAGTATATGTATCAAAATACCATACCAAAGCTAATATCCTAAAGCACTTAAAATATATAATATAAATATCAAAATTATTCTTAATAGAATACAGAATGTAATATTTTATGGTGAAATAAGTCTTATGGTGCTGGAATAAGTTGATAGAAATTAAAGATCACAATATATAATATATAAAAAATTATTAACAGTTAAAATATTGCAGCAATTAATATTGCAAACAATATTTTAATACAAATCAGAGCATAATTTAAGAGGTATATGGTTTTTGTATTCATTAAGATTAAACAAATAAAATTTGCTTTTTTTTAATGATTACAAAAACTTGTAATCTCTTAATTTTATTTTAACCATCCGAAGTATTATCAATTAAGGACCTCTTTAAATAAAAGAATCAATATTTCTGCAATAATGATCATACAAAATTTTAGGTTAGAAAACTGTAAATAAGCAGTAATTTGATTATTTGTTGCAATGAAGTGAATTTATCACATCAATACACTGAACACACAGACCATGAGGTGATATAACATGGATTTGCACTGTTATGAATGATTTGCAAAAATTTAAGTTTTGTGCAAAGTGCATATAGAAGATATGAACAGTAAATCATAAGCGTAACAGATAACAGTAGAATTAGGAATAGCTTTGAGGTAGAAATAGAATTAGATACATATACAGCTGAAATTTGAAATTAGAATTTACTTATAGTATAAATGCAGATAATTTTTTTTTAATAGATTGCAATTCAAATTCATGCAACTAAATTTAGACATACCATAGAAAAAATTAAATTGAAGTTAATGTTAATGTTAAGAGTAAATCAAGATATTTGAACATAATTCAAATAGCATTAAAATAATAAAACATCAAAACTCTAAAAAAAACAAATACGGTGACTTAATAAATTTAGGAGAAAATGAAACATTAAATCCAGACAAAAAAAAAATCATGCTATAAAATACATATAAATTATAAAGTTGAGCAGAAATATTAATACATGATAGAAGAGGTCAAAGTCATGCAATGAAGCTAACGTTGCAAAAAACTTGTCTGCTTTAAGTAATATATCAAAAAATATACAGTGCTAGTGTCGTCAACATGTTACCGTGAGGGGAGTTTCTCACGCCTTGGTCTGTGTGAATAGGCTGCCCATCCTCCCGCGACAACTCACTTGATTGTTTGACCACTGGTCTATTTGCCATTCCAGTCGGCATACTTTGTGGCAAACCTCCCATTCCATAAGCACCTCCAAATTGCCCCATAGCAGCTCCAAGAACTGGATGGGTATATCCGGGTTGTTGATAAGTAGGTTGGCCAAGGCTTGGAGGCACCGATAACTGCATAATTGCAGGGTCATTGGGCACAGGATTATTGACATTGTTGACAACTCTTATGTCCTTGATATCAGATCCGCGGAACAAAATATAATCATATATTTGCGTTTGCGGTGCAACTGGAAACGGGGTATCTCGATCTTCGGTTCCAAATGAACGTACTACAATAAAAAGTAACTTAAATTAGTTTCGCACTTTCGGTAAAGTCAAAATGTGTTATACAGTTAATTGCGTCGTCAGTACAACAAAAGGGTTAAGTTTCACTGAACTGTCAAATATTGCGCAAAAAGTTTGATGGCTTAATATCCGATATTAAAATCATTTAGTCAACAGAAGAAGCGGTATAGTGTAATCTTCAATGAGCATATAAATAATTCAACATTTAGAAATTTATCTTCAAACAAAAGGCTTACCGGTTGCTAATGCAATTGTACATTCATGAGGATCAACAGTGAAAAGGCGACCCTCATATCTGATATCTGCTTTCGATATGAGGCTTATCTTGGAGCCCAACTCCGGCATTCCATTTGCCATTATTTTAATTTCGCTGAAACTTTTTGATGAAACAGATGTTTACAGATTAAACTCACAGATCGACTGAATGTGAAACTTTATTCTAATGGCGTTCTAAACACACAAGAACAGCTGAGATAAGCACTACCAACATGACAACATTGAGGTATAAATAAGGTGTTTTCACTATATTGGTAATGCAACCAAGATCTATTGCATAATATTATATCCGGTAAAATTTGCTTTATTTTGCATTTTAAATCATAATAAGAGCCTTTTTAATAATGATTTAGTTATTTTAAGTTACCGGTTATTGTATAAATACAATATTTGTTTACTTTTATTAAAATCAATTTTAACCTATCCTTCACTTGAAACAGTGTATGTTCACCTTTAGCCATCATGGCGGCGACAATTGGGAGGATTTGTGGAGCAAAACTTTTAAAATCTAATCATGGAATCGCATTATACCAGGTACGATCATGGAAATATGAAAATAAATATGTTTCGAGTTTTACTTTAATTATTTCCATTTGTGACAATATTCTTATAATTTGACATTTGTTTAAAGCTGTCATTCGTGCACTAATTTACGTATGCTCCATTAGCCACATAACTATCATTTTCATAATAAGCCGACTCATTATTATATGAAAGCATCATAAATTACTGTCCTGTAATAAATATATCGCGTAAATAAATTTATTTTCTATGCGTATATCAAGAAATAGAACATCATTATGTAATAATTTTCAGATTAATAACTATTCAACTGCTCAAAGGACGTGGTCCAAGAGTCAGAAAGTTGTAAGTAGAACATAATTTTTAATTTCTAATAAAATAAGTTGCTTGATTTCAAGTTTGTTTTAGTTCTTCACAACAGTTGGAGTATTTGCTGGAAGTGCAGGAGCACTACTATTTGCATTAGATCAATCCGTAAAAGCTTCTGGAACAGAAGTTCACCCTCCTAAAAATCCCTGGAGTCATAAAGGAATATTCCAATCCTTTGATCACAGCAGGTTTGTTTACTTATTCGCATGGTGATAGTTAGATAACATTTTTACATATATTATTGCATAATTTATAGTATACGCCGTGGTTATGAAGTGTATAAGCAAGTATGTGCAGCATGCCATTCAATAAAATATTTATGCTATCGGAATTTGGTTGGAGTTTCACATACTGAAGCAGAAGCTAAAGCTGAAGCTGCAGAGGTAGACCGTAATTTTATTAGCAGTTTAAACCGTCACATAATACATTCAAAATTATTTATTTAAAGGCGCAAGTGCAAGATGGACCTGATGAGCAAGGCAATTATTATATGCGTCCAGGAAAGCTGTCAGATCCTTTCCCCTCACCATATCCAAATGAAGAAGCTGCTCGAGCAGCTAATAATGGTGCTTTTCCACCTGATTTGAGTTTTATTACATTGGCTCGTCATGGAGGAGAAGACTACTTGTTTGCACTCCTGACTGGATACACAGACCCACCAGCAGGTGTAATTCTAAGGGAAGGACAGTATTACAATCCATATTTCCCAGGGGGAGCCATTTCTATGGCTCAAGCATTGTATAATGAGGTATGTAATTACATCAATTTTTAATGTGCATTTGAATATAATCTTGAATTATCAACTTCTTCCAGGTTATGGAATATTCAGATGGAACGCCAGCCACTGCCAGTCAACTCGCCAAAGATGTTTCCACATTCTTGAAATGGGCATCTGAGCCTGAACATGATGATCGTAAGAAAATGACTATTAAGGCTATTGGAATCTTTTCAATGCTTTTTGCATTGGCCTTTTATCTGAAAAGACACAAATGGACAGCACTTAAATCACGTAAATTTGAATTCAAACCCCCTAGTAAGAAATAATTAGATAATTATCTGTAGTTGGATTTTTTGTGCGTCTATGATTGTTACCATTTCAATAAAGATTGTCTTTGGCCACACTTGGTACTCCATTATTTTATCTCTAGTAGATAATCAGTATACTTTTTTTTTTGTTATTTACTGAGATGCCTAAAATACCACAGTTTTCTCTTTAATATTTCAGCTGTACATTTAAATGGAATAAAAATGTAACACCATGAACATGAATGGTTTAATTGACAACCTCACTTTCCACAATGATTTTAAAAATGCGATTAATATTGATAAGATAATTTATTCATAAAATTTTAATTATTTATAAACACCAACATTCAACATTACTTTTTATACAATAGAAACAGCAATTACTTAGTTTTAGCAATGAAGCAGTATATTACATTTCTATGCATTCAGAGAAATAAAGTTTATAAATAAAATAAACATTTGTAATTATGTATATTGACATTTTTATTGTATAAATAAACATACGATGACTATTTTAGTAACACTATCAATGTCAACACTTGTTTTCCACTATTTATCCATAATAAAACTTCCATCCTTACCATCATAGTAAATATTCTATTGAACTTATCCTATGATTATTAAAGTGTTTAATAATGTTAAAGCCATCGCACACAAGCTGAGGTTCTTGTTGGTAATCAACTTTGAGGAAGGCTAAAATGAACTGCCCTCAGGTGGTTGAGATAATTTCATGTTTTCTTTAAGAGTCATTATGCGACGTAATTCCTGAAGAACAGATTTTATTGTATAATCTCTTTGCCATCGAGCCAAAACGGGTACTTGTCTGTTATCAACCTTAAATCGAGCACATTGTCACATTAAAATTTGATTCATTAATAAGACAAGTTGTAAAATACTTACAACACCATTAGAAGTGTTAATGCAGTTTATATTGATCCTAGATAAAAATTTAGCACTGGGAGCATCATCGGGATACCTAGCACCACATTCAATTTTTAATGAATACATTCTATTTTCATATGGAGTCTAAAAATATGAATCAGAATTAGAAAATATGTCAATTATCGATATGGGCAAACCGTAACGTACCCGAGGGGGTCCTATTATCATTCCAGTCCAATGAGTTAAAGTCATATCATCATCATTTTCAAGACCCCAAGATATAGTTCCATCACCTACACCTTTTTGTCCTTGCTCAAGTTCTTCAAGTAAACGGAAATTTCGAGGAACCACTACGATTATAGTAATTAAAATATTGATAATAGTTGTGTTTTAAAAATAATATGGTTGACATAAAATATTAAACATGAAGACAAAACCAAATTCATAGGTCTTGAAACATCAATGTTATACAAATATTTATGTATCACAAACTTATTGATGAAGGGGATTTCAAGCTGATAAAAACACAAAAGAAATTATGCACAAATAATAATTCTTACCTACACCGGTTGTAGGGACAGCCATTATAACTTATCAAAACCTAATTATTTTAGTGCAGAAAATAATACTTCAGCATAAATATCTATATTTTGTAACTGATTGCAGCACTGTCCTGATAAAATAATACACACACAATTTAAATAAAGGTGCAAAATACAAATTCTTGTTGGTCCGCCTTTCAGAATTTTTTCTCGACGTCCACCAAATTCCACTTATAAACCAAATGGGTGTGAGTGTTATTTTCCTAACGTTGGTTACATTGCACGTCAACTACTGTGAAATATGCAGCACTATCCACTCTAATGTGAACGAAATAATCGTTAATGCTTTTGAATAGATTTGAATAGTTTCAACTTTCAACTATACATATGTAAATATATTGACATAATGTAAATATATTGACTTTTATAAAAAATGATTAATTATTGTTTTGAACGATTTTGAACGTAAAACATGTTTATAAAAAAAAACAAATTAATATTGTTTTGAAAAAAAAATGAGGCCTTTAGTTAAAAAAAAATAAAAATCGAGAATATTAAAAAAATAGTAATAAAACTATTTTGAAATAAAAAATAACAAAATCAATTTTTAGTTATAGTTATATTTATTAATATTGTGACTTGCGTTGAATACACATAAAATCTACGACAAACTACAATTTATGAACACACTTTTTCTATTACAAATTGTGACTGCAATCCAGATAAACTCACCTGAAATAAATAAATAAATATTATATATAAATAAACATTGTTATAAATTTTGTTAGATTTTTTTACATATATGTACTATACTTATGTAAATCGCAATAATAAACATATATAGCACGAATTATATTCAATTATAACTTTAAGTGAATATACCATTATTATTTAGTATATATACCATTTGATTTAGCGTCAAAACTTAATGCAAATTGCTAGAACTTCCCGTACCAAAAACTAAATTAAAAAGAACTTTGCAAAACTCTAAAAAAATTAGATTTTTGAGAAATTGTGTAATTGTTTGAAAAATTGACTTTTTTGAAAAATTTGTATTTCTTATATTTTGATTTTTGTTGAAAATTTCGGACATTTTTTAAAGCAATCGCGCTGCACAGCTGATTTGGAATCGAAATATCAAAGCGCGTAAACGCCGCGTAGTCGTCTAACGTGTAAACATTGGTGCGGGACCCATATACAATTTTATGTACAAAAAATTTGTACTTATTATTATAATATTATAATATTTATAAAATATCTGATAATACGATGTACATATATCAAATGATCATTTTTAAACGCCAAAATGGCATTGCTTTTTACTTTTTTTTATTGGATCTTTGGAGACTAGACCTGCCTTAACAAGTAAAATATTTTTGAATTATTTAAATTGGACGCTACGTTATCTCAAAAACTGAAATATCATTTTTGGCACTTTTTGCCCCGTATCTCCGAAACGGCTAGTGTGTGTGTGTACGTGGATACAAATTTTCGTCGACGATTTCGGGAACACCAATCAACCGATTTGAATAACTCAAAAAACATTCGATTCGTATTGATAAGGATAGACGTGCTGATTAGTATTTGGAGAAGGCAGGTCTACTCGTTCCGAAGATACGGGACAAAAAGTGCCAAAAATGGTAACTCAATTTTAAGAGAACGGAGCGTTCCATTTTAATAATTCAAAAAACATTTTACTTGCATTGACCAGATGAAGAACTGATTAAATTTTTGGGAAGGCATGTCCAGCGGTTATGGACTCTCAATAAAAATAAGATAAAAAAATGGCATTTGGCGGTCAAAAATGTTTATTGGACATATGTACATCAAATTATCAGATATTTTATAGATTTTTAATGTGTACACATTTTGTGTAAATTTTTTGGGGTTCCGTACCAAGATTTTTAATTACGGTACGGGAAGTTTCAGCAATTTGCCTTAAGGCAGGATGCCATGCACCCCACTAGTTTAATTTAATTTTAAATTGAAATATATGATGCTTTTTTGCAAATATAAGACTATTAAAGTCATTTGATTATTGGATGTGGGTGAAGAAGAGTCAATTTGGGACAAAAAATATATAAGTAATTTAGTTATATTTTTAATAACTGATTGTCTTTTGGAAAAGACCGTTTTGTTTCTAATGATATATGTGTATAATTATGGAGTACTATAAGATAAATAGAAAAAGCACATGTATCTTACTTATGTCGGAGGAATTTCATCCTGCATTCGGGTCAATTGAATATTGCGATCGGTTTGACTTTGTTGCTTAGCGCCTGCCTTAATTCCGCCATCGCGCAAACGCATCCGCAAGTCAATACAGCGAAGATCCGTCATTAGACCTTGCTCTTTATTATCAAGATCGCGATCTATACGTACTAAATGATTTTCTAAAGCATTGTAAGTCGCTCTGAAACATTAACGGATATTTATTCATTATTCTATTATTCATTAACGGATTTTTATTCGTTACATTTCACTTACTTGGCGCAATCCATTTTGTCTGTAAGATCCCGTCTGGTTTGCCTCAATTGTCTGACTTCATCTTGTAAGCCAAGATCGGGCTCATCACGAGCCATTTCATAACCAGGGCGATAGCTGCGAATTTCTAGTCGGGTTTCGCAAAGTTTTAAAGCATCAGTTTTATCTTGTAAAGCACGTTCTAGTGATTGGATTTCATCGATCATATTTTCCATTTCCTCTTTCATCTAGAGAAGAAAACTCAGTCGATAATATATAATATATATTCTATTTAATTATAAGAATTATAACTCTCCGAAAGAACAGTTTATAAATATTTAAAATATAAGGACATAATTAATTCAAGGATAATATAAGGACATAATCAATTCACATTGATTCAAAGTAGCATATCTTTTATTCATTACAAGTGGCTTAGAATTTTTAAATTGATTTGTTCATTTGTTATGAAAAGATGTCGACTATAAAAACATTGCCTTCCTTATTTAATATATGCAAATGAGGAATGAACACTACATCACCCAGTTATAGAAAATGAAATTTTAGGAAGTTTCTTTTATATAATAAGAGAGGATCGCGAATATTTAAAAAACAACAAATAGAAAATCCTGACCCCGATGTACCAATTGATAAAAGAGGAGTTAAAGACACTGGATACACAATAAATGGAAAATATGTAGAAATTCCAGAACTTATCCCTGAACTAATCGTCCCAGACTTGACAGATTTTAAATTGAAACCTTACGTAAAAACTCCTGAAGTATACCAAACAAAATTCACAAGCAAAGATTTGTTTGATGCTGTTTATAGCAAGAAAATTATAGAAGAATTTAAGGCAGGAAAATTAGATAAAAATGGGAATCCATTAGAACCATGCATTGAAAAAAAAATTAACACCAGAAGAAGCTAAAATTAATGCTAGGAAAACAGGTTCACGTATATTCTAATATTATAATAGAATATTTGTAGTAAAATGAATTAAAATGAATTAATTAATATCCGCAGTGATCTTACTAAAATTAGTTAAATATTATTGGAAGCCGATGGATTTCCAAAAAATGTCTCTTGGCAGTGTGTATTTGTGGTAATTTCTTGGCAAGTTAAGTTTCCTGGGGTTAGTATAAAGTTTGTTGGGGTTTGACTGCTAAACATTCGTATCCTGATGTGAGTCAAGTTGGCTCAGCCAACCAGATATGATTTGTATGAAGCAACAAATTTAAGAGGATATGTCAAAATTTAATTATTAATTAATTAGATATTATTGGTAGCAGATGGATTTCTAAAAAATGTCTTATAACAGTGTATATTTGTGGCAATTTTCTGGGGTTAGTATAAAGTTTGTTGGGATTTGATTGCTAAAAGTTGCACCTCCTACATTTATATCCAGATGTGAGTCAAGTTGGCTCTGCCAACCAGATATGATTTGTATGAAGCAACAACTTTAAGAAGATATATGTCAAAATTCAATGACAATCCGACGATTTGTTTACACGATATAGAGGTTCAAGTGACGCAACTTTTGAGTTGTTCGAAACCATCAATTCAAAGCATTTGTGTGTGTTGATATATCATTGATTTTTGATGGGTAAAAATATCATCACAGCCAAAATATCGCTTGATTAGTGTTATCTAGACTCTGCCAAATCGAGGCAAACGGTGGAGAAGTGGTTTGGACACTGACGATGCTGAAAGCTCTGGAAGGCCAATTGTGGTGGTTACACTAGAAAACATAAAAATGTCCAACGAATATTTTTGTTTTCCAAAACTTTTTGTTTTGGAAAATGGAAAAGTCATGAAATGCCTGAGACAGCTGACACCCAGAAAATATCAATATAATATGTTTGATAATCCTTAGCGAATACTTTGAAATATCTCTGTGCTAAATGGGTGCCGCGCGAACTCACATTAGACCAAAAGCATAACGAGTTGATGATTCATAAAAATATTTGGAGCTGATTAATCAAAATAAAACCGATTTTTTGCATCAATATGTTACCATGAATGTGACCTGGCTTCACCATTTTTAAATTGATTTGTTCATTTGTTATGAAAAGATGTCGACTATAAAAACATTGCCTTCCTTATTTAATATATGCAAATGAGGAATGAACACTACATCACCCAGTTATAGAAAATGAAATTTTAGGAAGTTTCTTTTATATAATAAGAGAGGATCGCGAATATTTAAAAAACAACAAATAGAAAATCCTGACCCCGATGTACCAATTGATAAAAGAGGAGTTAAAGACACTGGATACACAATAAATGGAAAATATGTAGAAATTCCAGAACTTATCCCTGAACTAATCGTCCCAGACTTGACAGATTTTAAATTGAAACCTTACGTAAAAACTCCTGAAGTATACCAAACAAAATTCACAAGCAAAGATTTGTTTGATGCTGTTTATAGCAAGAAAATTATAGAAGAATTTAAGGCAGGAAAATTAGATAAAAATGGGAATCCATTAGAACCATGCATTGAAAAAAAAATTAACACCAGAAGAAGCTAAAATTAATGCTAGGAAAACAGGTTCACGTATATTCTAATATTATAATAGAATATTTGTAGTAAAATGAATTAAAATGAATTAATTAATATCCGCAGTGATCTTACTAAAATTAGTTAAATATTATTGGAAGCCGATGGATTTCCAAAAAATGTCTCTTGGCAGTGTGTATTTGTGGTAATTTCTTGGCAAGTTAAGTTTCCTGGGGTTAGTATAAAGTTTGTTGGGGTTTGACTGCTAAACATTCGTATCCTGATGTGAGTCAAGTTGGCTCAGCCAACCAGATATGATTTGTATGAAGCAACAAATTTAAGAGGATATGTCAAAATTTAATTATTAATTAATTAGATATTATTGGTAGCAGATGGATTTCTAAAAAATGTCTTATAACAGTGTATATTTGTGGCAATTTTCTGGGGTTAGTATAAAGTTTGTTGGGATTTGATTGCTAAAAGTTGCACCTCCTACATTTATATCCAGATGTGAGTCAAGTTGGCTCTGCCAACCAGATATGATTTGTATGAAGCAACAACTTTAAGAAGATATATGTCAAAATTCAATGACAATCCGACGATTTGTTTACACGATATAGAGGTTCAAGTGACGCAACTTTTGAGTTGTTCGAAACCATCAATTCAAAGCATTTGTGTGTGTTGATATATCATTGATTTTTGATGGGTAAAAATATCATCACAGCCAAAATATCGCTTGATTAGTGTTATCTAGACTCTGCCAAATCGAGGCAAACGGTGGAGAAGTGGTTTGGACACTGACGATGCTGAAAGCTCTGGAAGGCCAATTGTGGTGGTTACACTAGAAAACATAAAAATGTCCAACGAATATTTTTGTTTTCCAAAACTTTTTGTTTTGGAAAATGGAAAAGTCATGAAATGCCTGAGACAGCTGACACCCAGAAAATATCAATATAATATGTTTGATAATCCTTAGCGAATACTTTGAAATATCTCTGTGCTAAATGGGTGCCGCGCGAACTCACATTAGACCAAAAGCATAACGAGTTGATGATTCATAAAAATATTTGGAGCTGATTAATCAAAATAAAACCGATTTTTTGCATCAATATGTTACCATGAATGTGACCTGGCTTCACCACTACACTCCGGAGTCGAATAGACAGTCATCCGAGAGGCACGATGAAGAGAAAAAATGGAAGGCAAGGTTATGGCGTCAGTTTTTTTAGATTTGCAAGAAATGATTTTTATCAACTAGCTTGAGAAAGGCTGGACCATCAAGAGTGATTAATGAATAACGTTATTCTAGTATTGGAAGATCGTAATCGAAAAAATTGCCTCATTTGAAAAGAAAAACAGTGCTGCTCCATCAGGACAACGCCTCAAGTCACAAATTCGTAAAAACAGTGGCGAAAAAACATGAATTGGGCTCCAAATTGGTTCCCTACTCACTATATTCTCTAGATCTGTTCCCCAGCGACCATATCCTGTTCTCAGGTCTCAAAAGGATGCTCGCTGTGAAGAAATTTTTACTAAATGATAAGATGATAGCCGAATTTTGTGACAAAGTATAAATCGTACTACAAAAATGGTTTCGAAAAGTTCGAAGTTTGCTATAATCGGTATATCGTCTTCAAAGAAAACTATATTGAATATAAAAAATAATTTTGCAAAAGAATTGGGTTTTCTTAGTTATCCTATGGACTAATTGGGTGAAGTGATATAAATTCTACAATTACCTTCTCTGATTGATATTGCAATTCGTTTCTGGCCCTCTGGGTTTCATAAACACGTTTTCGAAGGGTGTATTCGGTGCACTCCTGTTGAGCACGGAGGTCATTACGAGCCCTTTCGCGCATCACAAATAAAGCCTCTCGCATACGAGCCGTATCGGCTAGCTCATTATCAGCAACTAATTTCACATAACGGGTGTGCTCCAACCAAGTCTCATATGGTATAGCCCTGCAATAAGAAAATCCCATTGTGAAATAAAAATTAATCATGGGGCAAGTTGAGCAATTAAAATATCTCTAAATCTCTATTCACCGCCCATTTAGACATCATGTGGAGGAGAGATAGAGGTATTGACACTTTAAGCAATAAACAACAAATCCATCAAAAGCCGCATGACAATTTAATGAAGCTTATCATTGAGAAGCTACATTCGTTTGTAAAAATTTGCTCCACTAGCCCCGCCCTACGCTACCACTAAATTACTGTATGAATATTCATACTTCACTATAATATTATAGTGAGTTTGCAAAAAAATACACACAAATTTAACATTGGCTTAAAATAAAAATATCAGTTTTGTTTAAAACAAACTTATGGATTAACCATGCCAGCAATTGTAACTAATAAGAGATGTCTTTCTTCAGATTAGCATTTATTAAAAAACATTCTAAACTTAGCTATCAGTAATAGTTAGTAATTACTCAATAACAACAATAATTGAAAATGAAAAGATAAAGCTATTTATTTATGACATTATAGTCAAGTTTGCCATTCGGTATTAAAAAAAAAAATTTTTTTTAATATAAGTTACAACTGCTAAATAACATCTACTTAGTAACATTTTTTTGAATTGCTAAATAAACTGATGGCAAATAAAACATTGGAAATGAAATATAATACAAAATAAAGTAATGAAAAAAACTGATCATAGCAATGACTAACCATGCCGGTACCTGTTGCGTCAGAAACGTTATATTTTCATTGTCAACTTTGAACCTGATTTTATAAATGTTTTCATAATTTTCTAATTTATATATACAAAATTGTTATTTTTGACTTATGACAAATGATTAAAATCGCAAAAGGAAAAAATTATTGTCTACATACAGATCTAAAACGCTGCAATAGTATAGAAAAGAATAATGTTACAGAATCAAGTTATTTGATGAAGAACCATAAATAAATTGAAAATGGGAACACCATATAGTTGATAAACGATTTATGAGGCAAGGCTAGATTTTAACAAAAAAGTTTAAATAAAAAATAGAACATTTGACCATGACTATATACAAAGCAGCAATTTTCAGATCAAATGGAGTCGAAAGACTGTTTATTTCTTTTTTTTTTAAATAAAATTAAACATAGAAATTATTATACTTTACTATAAAAGGACAATTGTATAATTTACACCTTTTTTAAAATATGCGAGTTTCTCATTGTTATTCAGCCAATTTAGTCCAGTCATGATAGTAAGTTCACCTCGGAATTCGAGGTACCCAGCTTACTAGTAGGGTGTACCTACCATATGTAGGTTTTGAGACAACTTATTAGTGTAAATATACAGCAAGTATTTAAAAACTTACAGCTGGGTATCTCGAATTCCAAGATTCTTACCAAATTTAAGCCTAAATGACTGAATACAATTTATGATCTGATATTACTATATTATTTTTAATATAATAGAATCAATATTTGTAAATTTAATTCATGAAACAAACGGGATGTGTGATTCATGAAATGGGCGTTTCAATTCATGGACCAAAAAATATAAAAAAATAATTTATTTTTTGCTGATGAAAGTTTAAATCAAAGTTTAACCTTTTGTGAACCCGCAGAGAATCTGGCTTAAAACTGATGTTCGCGCAATCTTTATGCAAAGTTAGCATGTCCTGATCCGACTGCAGAACTTCTTTTTTATCATTTAAATCCAAATTCAGTTGGAACTGAACTTCTTTCATTCGATTTATTTTTTCCCAAGCTGTCTGACATCTTTCTGTTAACATGCGTTTGTTATTTTCAATAACACAGAGTTCCTAGAAAAATAATTATCATTCAGTGCCCAGTATTAAATTAATATAATATATATTAATTATTATTATATTGATTAATTATATCAGTTATATTAAATTAATTAAAATATATTAAATAGTATTATATTATATCAGTTAATTCTCCTTCATTCTATGAACTTTTAATCAGAAGTTCCGGGTTCGATACTCATAAAGCCTGGCAATGGTAATATATTTTCCAGTAAAAATGACTCTCATCTGGCATTGCTGAATTATAAGAAGTTTCTCTTATAATGAATTCAAAATTCTAAAATAGATAGATAAGCCGTTGGGTTGCCAACTACAAAGCCATATTTTTAGGAAGTCATCATTACAACTTACAAGTATATACCTATTAGGTTCCGATTGTTGTCAATAAGGAAATTTAATTTATTAATATTTTACTTGATTTGTTTAAACTTTTACATTTATAGTAAAAGTAGAAAAGCTATGCCCTATAAATTTAAAACATTTTTCCTTCAAGTTAATTTAAAAAAAATATAATAAACCTTTAATTAGCTGGATCAATAATATCATGGTACCTTTTTTAATTCAGTGTCTGCATCGTCGTAGGTAATTTCGGAACCAAGTTTGCTATCTCGCATAGTTAGACATTCGGAAACAACAATCAAAGGTGTGTTGCACAAAGTGTCCATTTCACGTTCAGTTGCTGCTTTTTCCTCCATCAGTTCAGACATTTCCGAATTCAATCGATCTAGACACATTTGCAATGTTTCCCTCCAACGGTCCATTTCAGAGATCCTAATAATTGAAAAAATAGTAATAAAAAACATTTTATAACACAGGCCTACAAATTTTTTTTGTTTGGTGCATGAAATGTTAGAGCTGATTCTTATAGTATTTTTTGCGCTGATTTCAAATCTGAAAACCATTTTTTGTATCAGCTCTAGTCTGGAACTTGGAAAAAAGTTGCCGAAACCAGGTCCATTCTAGGTCGTCACGGAAAAGAACTTATCACAGTGTCAACTAATGTACCAACTAAGGCCGAATGGGTCTTGTTAGTTTGTATGTACTTTTATGATTTTTTAGCTTAATATTTATAACTTTTCTTTATTTATCTGCTAAAGCAGCGGTCTGGGAACTTTTTTAATCATTACCCCAAAAATTTTTTGTCTAATTTGATATTATCCCCATTGCTAAGCTAGACAACTACGTAGCAAATACAGCTAGCAAATATCATTTAAAAATACATAATTTTTACTCCCTAAAAATTTTATTTTTACCCCATTTGGGGTAATTTACCCCAGTTGCTGTGCTAAAGCAACATGTATACATAATAAGATATGCTTGTTATTAAAATCAATTGCAATCTAAGCAAGCACATAACATTAAACATTGATACAAATGAAATTAAAAAAAAAACAGACAATTTAGAGTAAATCATAAAAAGCAATTTAAATAATTTATTGGTATATGGTATTTTGCCTCAAGGCAAGTTTCTAAAAGTTTTTTTTCTTTAAAAATTTAATTTATTCTAAATTTTTGTATAAAATCGAAAGATTATAATAGGCTATACAACTGCAAATCCGTTGTGGCGTACTCGCTGTATGTTCTAAGGTTCCAAGAGAGTCAGGCCCTTATTCCAAACTTTAATTAATTTCTATAATTAAACCACTTTTCGTATGTCTGTATAAATTTAAGCAGTGCTTTAGACCATGAATTTTATAGCGCTATTAAAAAAAAAATAAAACATTCAAAAAAGTTTAATAACTTTTTTATGAAGTCTGACCGATCCTTACCAATCAGCAAGATTCAATTCGGTTCAGAATTTAATAAGTAAGTATAAATAAACTTCAAGTTTATATAAAGTGAAAGTTTATGTAAGGTACAAAAATTTACATAATTTTATTTTTACAATGGTTGTGATATCCGAAATTTGATTAAACACCGTTTATAAGGGTAGTGCGCCTAAACAATATAATACTATAATAATATTCATATTAAAGTTTTATTGTCAAACGTAGTTTGTAAGATATTAATCACAACAGCTCATAGAACCCATAAGTTCTGATCGCTGTTCAAATAAAATTATAAAAAAAAAATATTGCATTATATTCTCATTATATATTGGTAGTCAAATTATCATATTAACTTCCCGTAGGGTAAGTTATAGTAATGGGCCGAAAATGGAAAATGAAATTTTTTGCAAATCTTTACGTTTCAGAGGTTTCTGAACATTTTGGCATTCCTCAGAAATTCTTGTGTGTGGGCGCGTGTGTGTTTTGTGCGTCCGCATTTTTTCGGGCGCACGGATCGACCGATTTGAATGGTTCAAAAAACATTCGATTCCTGTTGATAGGGAGATGTGCTGATTAGTTTTTGGCAAAGGCAGATCCAGCCGTTACGGAGATACGGAGCAAATAGTGCAGAAAATAATAAACAAGGTTTTGAAAGAACGGAGCATACGATTGGAATGATTTAAAAAACATTCAATTCGTAATGACGGGATGAAGTGGTTGTTAGTTTTTGGCAAAGGCAGATCCAGCCGTTTCAGAGGTACCAAGCAAAATGTGCAAAAAATGGCAGTTTTCGAGAGAACTAAACTAAATTATTCAAAAAGCTTTCTGATTGCTTTTGGAAATAGGATTTTTTTCATTTTTTTTCTTTGATTTTCAAAAAATATTTTTTTTTGGATATCGAAAATAATTCGGATTTTAGTTTTAATTCTGGCTAAAGTTCTAAAGCTCACTAATATACTTTAATTGAATAATCTTAACTTTTCTATTCAGTTTATATAATTCTTATAAATAAGACAATGTCCTTCATTTTAAATTTGATTGGTTGATTTACTTTTCTGTAAACATATATAAATTACAGTATTTATAATAATCTATTTGAAATCATTTAATATTCCTCGGTACGGGAAGTTCCAGCAATTTGCCTTATGGCACGATGTCTTACATAGTTTTAATTAAATATGTTATACGATGAACGCTATAGCATCCACGTCATTCTGCATCACAATGAAAATGAATACTAAAGCATTTACATCCATGAAAACAATGTAGATTTTTGCGCAAAACTAATCAATGCGAGTTTTTTTTATCGAGTTTCATCATATATTTTAAATTTTGATGCGGTGCTGGTTTTTTGAGAAAATGTTAACGGCATATTAAACTATGGCTCACTTACACACACATACTTTTTTCAATTCCAATCTCAAACGATTCAGAATGACTTAAAACGTGAAAAAACATAAAATTAGCAAATAGGATTTTTTGGCGAAACCGCTCCTTCGGGATGTTAATAAATAATTCCAATGATATTTATACCTATCTCCCAATCGGACGTTATTGTGATAGGTATCCCATTCTGTCCTGATTCTGGTTTCATTCCGCATTTGCCTGGCCTGATGTCGAATCTGGAATGCATCTGTGCGTCTTGTATCCGCCGTATGTTGTAAGGCAGTAAGGCGCCCTTTCCAGTCCGGAAGCCCCACATGAGGAAGGGGCTTCTCAAAGGTAACGATTGATGATGAGGTAGCCATTGCTCACTAGTTTTTTTCTCAAGATTTGGTTTCTATTAATAACTAGAACGCATCGTCCTGACAAATAAATCAGACATTAGCTTTACATTACATTAAGAGAGAAATCGATCTCTTATATATAGTCTTATTTAAATGTCAATATACGGTTGAAGGTAATGAATGAAATTTATATTTCACAAACAAATGTCAAAAATTTTACTCAAAACTACTTTCAAACTAAAGTGAATAAGTAATGCATGGTATCATTTTAATAAGTACTATGAAAAATCTTACCTTAAAATGTTGATACGTTATTGAATTATTTCACTAAACACCTTATTTATATGTAAACAAAAAATTTTTGCAAAAAGCTTCACTTTGAAACATCAATTTATTAATGTGCTTAAAATATGAAAACAAAAAACACGTAACCATGTTACTGAGAAATTGATCAAACGACAAATCTATCGATTGCGTGAGATATTGAAATACATATCCAAATAATACGAGATTAAGATCTCGATAAATATTAAGATTTTAATAGTGTATATTATTTATAAAACTTCTTATTAAATTTATTGTATTCTGAATTTTAACAAACAAAACGTAAATCTTCACGCGTGTAGCATATTTCCAGTGCTCACAACTCACAGAAACAAATCTGACCAACATATTAACAAGATCTATTCGGCGGTGTTTTTCAAACGTATATAATTTTATAAATAATTTAATTTATGAGTTTATAATAAGTTCAGTTTAAAATTAAAGATTATTTTTTACATTTACATTTTGATATACTCATAGCAAAAACCCTACACATATACAAACACTTATATACCCACACATATGTATTTGTATTTGTGTAGGTATGTGCTATGGGTATGCATTTGTATATTATATATATGTACATATATTTTTAATTATAATAATTTAAAACAATTTTTATAAACAAACCTTTTTCTTTCATAGAATATTTTTTCTTCTAGCGACATCTATTTTTCAACTGGGTCCTATTCCTTCTCTTTGCTATTTGATATTTCATGACTCATCAAGTTGACCTTGATAGAGAATTCAGACTCCGACGGTCGTTGGTGGGGCAATATAATGAACTACTTGCAACGGATAACACATGATGCTAATTTAGGTTTCTATATTTTAGATTTTAAATTATAACACACTGATGATGAGACAAACCTAGTCTCAAAACGTTTATTTAATAAATTAGTGCAAAATAGAGTGTTGTTTGTTTATATAAAAAATATTTCAAAATTAGGTCAACAAAACTATTTAAGTAAATTATCATAATATAATTAGGTAAATTCTGATAAAATAATATAAGGTAAACAAGTGCTAAATTGCAAAAAATTTCACATCTGTATTTATACAGGAAACTTATTCAATAAAGATTGAAATTTGATTACTTTTTAAATTGTTCAGCCAATCTTCACTAAAAATGATCTGCAAGCTTCTTCTTCAACTGATATCTTTTGAAATTGAAAATTAATCTAAATACCTGCATATGCAAAAAAATATCAAATTTACCTCCTTAGGTATATAATTTTAGGTGAAAGACATTAATATCACCAAAGTTTTCAAATGCATCAGGAAATATAATTTCTTGCACATTTAATTAAATTAGTTGCACCATGTATGTTTAAAGCCAATTGAAAGATTATTGTACTTGTTAACGATATATTAAAATTTATAATTTCATAAATAAGTTTACAACTTTTATAATTTATTCCTAATTTTAATATTAAAATAATGTACAATATACAAAAATACAAATTAACTGATTAGGCTAAGCAGAAATTAGTAGATTCTACATTTACATGATCACTAAGCTATAAATCATTACATTAAAATATAAATAAATGAATGCAATTACATTTAGATCTTTATTGTTAAATTCACAAGTTATAACAATGTAAAATGTTCCAGTCTTCTCAGAAGAAGCAAATAATATAAACTTTCATCTTATAATACACATGTAACAGACAATTATTTATATATACACACATATATATATACACGTACATGTTTTATATACATATATATATATATATATATATATATATATATAAACTTCCACACATACAAAAATTACTAACAAATTTAAAATCTCTAATATTGTATAAATTTTAAGTAGTTACTCTAATTTAATAATTATAACAATATATAAATTCTATGTTTACATTATAAATATATATATATTCTATTTAAGATAAACGAATTTACTTCAAAAACTTATAGAAAATGACTATCTAAAATATAAAATCACTCAGGGAAAGTTGCAAGTTTTAACTTAAAGAAATCGTAAAAAGTGAAATCAAAAAAATGATTTGTTTACTATTACAAAACTGTAGGAACAACTACAAAAAGCAACTTGATTGTATAGAAAAAATTGAAAAACAAATATAGGCACAATATGAGAGCATTTTCAGCTCCGATATGTCAGACATATCAATGAGTACGTTGGTTAACATTGTTAGAGGGTCCAATAGTATCGCACCTTCTATAATAAAGTAAATAAGGAACCCGTGGTTGTCTGGGATGCAACACCATATTCTCAGTGACTGCCTTAACAACACTGTCATCGTATCGTATCCAGCCATTAAAGCCAACATGGAACACATCGGTAATGTAATGCCCCTTTGAAGCTTCTTTTCCATCATGGTAAACAACTGCAAATAATTTGTATTGACGCTGTTTTACCGCATACTTCGTTTTAGTTGACATTAGCTTGGGATCTATTTTAAGGTCAATTGGAAAATCAACATTTTTTACTATTTTTGTACAACCATCTAACTTGTAATCAAACCACTTTAGATGTAAAATTAGTACAACTGGCAGTTCTTCTAAAGAGACTTGTTGCCAAGCCTCAACCTCTTGGTTTGTTTTAGAACAAGTAACACCTTCCAATTGATCACGTCCAACTAATAATTCCAATGCTTGTGAGACAGATGCCGCTTTCTATAATATAGAAAAAAAATCTATTGAAACCAAATTATACAAAAATATTTTTTATACTATGAATGTTACCACTTCTGTATCTCACAAAACCCTTTGATGAATAGAAAAGAATCTATGCACCATACACAAATGAGATTATTTTTACTATTCCCAAAACTATGACCATGAGTGAAAATAAACTGTCAAACAGGTATCTTGTTTGGGTTCAATTTATAGATTTTCGTTTTATTTATACTTGCCTCTATATCTAATTGAAGTGTGAAAAAAGGCTGCACACTATCAGTCGTCAAATCGCCAGCCCTTTGAACTCGTGATCTTAATTGACCTCGAAATATATCACTAATTGGTGAACGGCCAAAATATGATCGCCTAGTTATAGAACCTTTATTTTTTGGACCCATTACCTATTTAAAATGGTGTTTTTATAATTATAAAAAAATATATTCTTTAAATTATATATATATATATATATATAATGTATTTATAATTTTAATTTTAGTTTTGTATGTTTCACTACTATGTCATCACAAATGATTGTGGTAACTACTCTCGGAAACCTTTGAGATTAGCCTATTCAGGAATTCAGGATCAAAACGACCAAAAAACCTTAAAGACATGTCTCAAATTTAATCTCTCACATGTGTAACGCCTCTATTGCCATGACAAAAGGCAAAGCTGCTGACTTCATGTGAGAATGTCTAAATAGATTCCTTCCTAAAGCTTACCTTCCATTCATCATCATCATCATTATCATCATCATCACACTGTCTATGCCCATTCACCATATCACCATTGGACAGTTGAGCTTTTTCTTCAGGTTCTACTAGTTTTATGAGCTGTAAGTAATATTGAAGTATTTGAATCACTATAAATATTAAGTGAAAACATTGAGGAATGCCAAGGTTCCAAAGTCAATTTGATATAAAAAAAATTAAATTGCTTTATACATGTTTTTAGATAATATTTTATGTCAATCTGTAGTTCAATAAATAAATTATAATATCAGAAGAGTATTTATGAAATTATATTGTTCAAAAAAATGAGGGGGGGGGGCATAGAAAAGTTGGAAACTACTGGAATAATGTATCAAAGATTCCTTTGGTCAACCACTATAATGAAGTGGATTTCCATACACATTCAAAGAATTAATGTTCCCACCATCTGCACACCTTCAGAAAAAACAATATTTTCTGAGGCCGGCTTAGTTAAGTGGGGTATAAAAAATTTATTATTATACATATACATATGGTTTATTTTTCGTGCAGCAAATTTAAGTTAAAAATACTAAATCAATTTTGCTATAAAATCATAATTATGTAATATTTTCCTGCTGGCATTTTCTTTGTAGCATACGTGTTTTACTTTAAGATAGTTTTGACTCAGTGCATTTGTGTAACTTTGTTAAAAATTACAAATTCAAGTAATTTATGATGCATGTCATATAATGCCATAGCCACATTCATATTCTTTTGAGTATCATTGATTTAATAAATCTTCACCAAGTCTAATTAATTATTCTATATTAATAAAGATCTAAAGTTAAATTACCTCCACCATTTCATCATTTAATCCATTAAGAAGGCAACTTAAAAACTCTTCTGCATCCTCTTGTCTTCCTTCAACCTGGAAAGTATTTGGATGGAAACCACTAAGCATTCTGTGAATAACCAATGGTTCAAATGGTGGACCTGTGGACACATCTGGTAATTCATCTTTACGCTGGTGACCTTTTTCACGACGACCAACTCGAGCACCAGGAGGCAAAGGCATAAACTCATAAGCTAATTGAGTCCTGAAATTGAACATTTTAAATTAATACATCTAATATTATGCAAAATTAAATTAATATAATGTTAAAAAAATATACATAAATTATTATACTAAAAAACTATCATAATGGAAATATTTATACTTTCAGATGTAATTTGAGCCATATTTGACTCTCAAAATACAAATAGCAAGATTCTATTATAATATTCATGCAAAAATAAAGTTATTCCAACAGCAATGCAAGTATTTGGCATAAATACTGAGGATAATGTATCAAAGATTCCTTTGGTCAACCACTATAAAAAAGTGGATTTCCATACACATTCAAAGAATTAATGTTCCCACCATCTGCACACCTTCAGAAAAACTAATATTTTCCGAGGCCGGCTTAGTTAAGTGGGGTAACAAGATTTGAAGATTATAAATTTAATATAAAATCACATTAATCTTCAAATTGCTAATATCTATAAAAAATTACTTACATAGCATCTAGCACAGGGGTTGAGCTTTTACTTTTCTTGGAGATTTGATGGGGTAATGCCTTTAGCAAATTATATAATGGAGGACAAGCCAAAAGAGCTTGCAAAGTAGAATTTATATAACAGTAGTTGGACCGATTTGTTAATCCTCTAGGTTGTAAGCTAACAGTTCTATTATCCAGATTGTACTTTGAAAGAAATTCTGAAAAAAAAAAATAGCTTTTGATACATGCACAAATATCAACTAAATAAAACAAATTTATACAAAACTTACCTCCAGCTCTGTATGAATTAGGATCATTTAAAAATGTTGAAGTATTGTCACTAGTAGTATGTATAGTAACTTGTGATTTATTGCTTTTTTGGATAATTTGATTTTGAGCTCCTGCAGTCATGCTATTTTCTAATGGTTGCACTACAGCCATTGGTTTGATAACTGAATTTTTTGAAGATAAATCTCCTGGATTTATAGAGATGGAAGCTGAAATGGAATCTGATAAAATATCAGATTTGTTAAATAAACTAGCCCAAGATTTACTCTGTGAAGCAGCAACACTTGTTTCAGCTTGCAATTGTTCAAATGCTGGTTCTAAGCTTTTATTAACTTCACTGCCTTTATTCTCTTTATTGATCGGTTTAGTTGTATTTGATTTCACATTTATTGGTTTATTCTTTAATTCAGAGTTAATTTCTAATTGTACCCCAGGTATTATACTTTCAGTAATCTCATTTGTTGGTGGTGTATACAATTTATTATTAACCCACACTGAATTAGGAGGAGTTTGAGATTTTGGTCTATTGTCATTTATCTTGCTTGATTGGAGTTTCTGAACTTCCTGAGGTTGTAGAGCAGGAACAGTCATGGTATTCTCTTTTGTAAGTGCTTGTTGTGAGCTTTTGTTTTGTGAAGGTTTTGTTGATTTTCGACCAACTCCTGTTTTTACTATGTCTTTATTATTTACAAAAAGTCCCTTTGATTTTGGATGTGAAGCATGTTGTGATGATAGAGTAGATCTATTTGAGACACAGTCCTTGATAGGTGTATTAATTGCTGAAACATCTGCAGCACCTGCAACAATAGCATCTGAAGCATCCATAACAGTAGCATCTCCAGCACCTGCAACACTAGCAACTGTAGCAGCCATCATATTAGTGTCAGCAACACCTGCATGATTTGGCATACTATTTTCATCAGCACTCACAACGCCACCTTCAGCAGCATCCGCAACAGATGCATATTCTATTGGTTCTACAATAGGAGTAATAGTGGCTGCATTTGTAATTGGAACAGATTGCTTTAGGCTAACCTCTTTACTATTTTCCACAATTATGGATGAAGTCTCAACAATAGAAGGTGGATATTCAACAGAAATAGATGCTTTATTCTCAGTACTATTTACTAAAACGTCAACCTGAGAAATTTCTTCTCGAATTCTATTTGAATTTTCCGCAACAGTATTTGAGCCATCAATTCCCAGAGGTGTAATCTGATTGCTATCATCTAGTACAGCACCGTCATTCTGATTTATTTGAAAATCAGAAACTTGATTAGTAACTTCGGTTGGTAAACAATTATACATTTCCTCACCTTGAATATTCATGCCCATCATATGCTGATGTATTTCAGAAGCTTGGGGATACATTTCTAATTCACAACTTTCAATTTTGCCAGTGGGATCCATTAACTGATACTCAGGTGGTACACTCACAGGCGAATAAACCATTCCGGGATGAAATTGATATAAATGAGGCATTGGGGCATACATAGGCACATGTTGACCAACATAGATTGGTGATCCAGTAGCATGTTGTGCTAAATGGCTTTGAGGGCCAGTTGGATAATATGCAGATTGATAAGGTATGGGCATATACTGATAGTGATTTGGTTGCTGCTGCTGCTGTACATCCACCATGTCTTGTTGCACATGCTGTTGCTGAATTTGTTGTGACCTTTGCTGCTGGTAATCACGCTTGTTGTGTCCACCTCGACTGCGTCTTCCTCTAGGGTTATGCTCACGATTATGTATGGGTCTTTGAGATGAGACCTCAGGCATTTGCTCAACTTGCCCTTGAGGTATGAAGGGCACATAATGTCCCAAATAACCATGAACATTCACATTGGCAGTTACATTACCAACATACACATTACTCATAGGAGCTGGCTGCATTAGATGGTACATATGTGACGGAGAGGATCCTGGTGGTTGCATGTTGTATGGAGGAGCAGCAGAATATATTGTGTTTGGTGGAGGACATTGTGATCCAACTCCAAACTGAGGTGAAACTGCTTGATGATCCCCGTTCATTGAAAAGTCTGACTCAGATGGAGGTACAGAGGATCCACTATTTAATGTGGATAGCCAGTCAGATTCTGAAAATAAGCATATGCAACAATGTAAATACACATGTTTCATAAAAATATTATTTTTATGAATATAAAATTTATATGTTATCGAGATGTTGACTTAAATACAAAGAACTAAGCAAATACTTAGGCTATATTATGTTTAAACATAAATTAAACGCAAGAAGTATCTGATTAACAAGACTAGTTTAAAAACTTAAAAAAATTACATTTAATATATGAGCTATTGTTATATTGGGTTGTAATTGTCTCACCAATTTCTTTGATTGAAAGAATAGTTTCTCCAACAATCATACACAATAGTGAGATTATGTTCCCACTACGAGCACACCATACAAAATAAAAAAAACTTTGCAGGTCGGCTTAGAAGTGTGGGGTATAGACATGCGGGGTATATATGTTTCTTTGAATTGTAATGTAAAGCATAAATCAATGATAAGATAACAGTTATAACCTCATTTTATAAGACGCATATTAATTGAATTACTGAACTGGAATATTGAACAAAAAAACATTAACAATGGCAAACTCACCAAATGTACCTTCATTCCAAACTCCAGAGTCGGATAAATCATGAGAACTTTGCTCTGACGGAAAAAGAGTGTTGTTTAACTGGCAACGTTCACTTTCATCTATATCAGTCAGATCAAGAAACTCATAATACTCCTATAATTAGAAAAATTGTTGAAGGTTATTCCAGTAATAGTTAATACTTCATTATTAATTGAAAAAAATATAATAAACGTGATTTTTTTTCACACAAATAATCCTTAACCTCAAAATGCATGAAATAAATTTATGCACTTAATCGACATGCTGTTTTTAAGATATTAAAAGTTTCGACACAACAGCAGTTATAACTTAAACAAAATAATTACTTCGCAAAAATAAATGTTATAGTAATTATTGAATTGTATCAAAAATAAGATTAGAAATATTTGAAAACCACTTGAGAATATACAGTTGCTTACATAATTTGAACTGAATCAAACCAAATAGCAGAAACGAAGAAAGTTCCATGCCATGAGGCGTAATGAAAATAAAATCCGGCATGGACATGAATATATTAGCCTATAAATATTACATAAGGATTCGACATGCTATTGATTTTGTACTCACCGATTGCCCTGGATCCATCGCCTTTGTAACTAACTCATTTCTGAAGTGTTGTTAGCACTTTTCGTTTACCGACAATTAATATATTCTACCACATGTAATCATCATAGTACCAAAAAAAAACCTACTAAATTACGGCGTACGGCCAGCTACAAGCACTTTTCGTCACCAAAAGACACAGGATATGCAAAACCGGATTACCAACAAAATCATACCAATTATGATTCATTTTGGCGCGACCGCGACATCATTAGGAAAGAAGTTGGCAGCACGGATCCAAACAAAATTTAAAAAACTGCGCCAACTCGATTGAAAAATAGAGGTTACAAATATGATTCAACAACAAAATTCATAATTTTATATATAATTATAATCTTCCAAATAATATAAATTAAAAATTGTAAACTTAATTAAAAAAAAGGAGAAAAACAAAAAAACACAATGCTATATTGCACTTAATGCTAGATAAAAATATAAAAGATTATTACAGGAATTAAAAATATGACGATATAAAATATTGAAAATAGAGATTGAACTCAGATTTATAAATATAAACTATAATATAAATATAAACTATATATATAAATACTCTTCTTTTATCTATGAATATAAATAATATTTTATATTAATAAAAATATAATATATTATTAATAATAATTAATAATATATTATATTTTATTAAACCATAAAATGCAAGGAAGAAATTAGTATAAAAAACTAATTAATAATAAAGTAATTAATAATAGTTTGCTTTTATCAAGGAAAACAGCAAAAAAAAACAGAACAATGCAATCATAGGCCAGAATTATTAAAAGAAAACTTGTTGCCTCATCTCCTCACTTTGACAATAAACATAACATACATAAAATGACCATAATGACCAAAAAGCCATAACCATACTGATTTTTAAAAACAACGGGCAAAAAAAATGCAAATATAACTATGGCGCTCATAAAATTAATATTATCCCAAAATAATGCATACATTGGAAATATTCATGAATCTGAAAAAGGTATTTGACACAGATCACAATATTTCGATTACAATAATTTAAAATAACTTACACATTCTGACTTACTTCCTTGATTTACTAAATTAGATAATTATTAAATATGTAAATTCATACAAACCTTTTGTAATAATTTTCATTGCATATGGAGATTTAAGAATATAAATAAAATACTTTTTGGATGCAATAATGCATTTGATTTTATATTATATTACATTCTTAACTTATTACATCAAAACCAAAGTGTAATTCTCCTTTCTTTATATTGCATGAAACACTGTATTGTAGAAAATCACACTGGTGAACCTGTTTTGGACTTGGTATTAAATGAACACCTTGTCTTGTAAACATATCCCATTTAATTCTATCTCCTACTTCGATTGCATTTTGAGGGCCTGTGCTCCATATATTCTTCGTTGTTCCATCCAAGTGCCAGTCAACCCACAAAGCAATACCGTTACATACACCATTTCTGTTTAATAGATAAAAGCAATTAGTGATCAAATTAATTGTTATATAATATTATATATAGATATATGTATATATACATACATTCCAAAAATTTTTTTGCCATTATAACAAAGTGCTTTAATTTCCTTTTCTGTAAGACATAATTCTAATATCTTCTCAGGTTTACCTAAGCACTTGCTTGGATACTCCCATAATGGTTGAGGTTCTACAATGCAATCAGTAAGATTACTTGAACTCTAAAATTATGAAAATACTAGATTAAAAAAATGCTATTTTAATAGCTTCTTCTAAATCCATACCTCGATAAGTTTATCAAAAGGTTCCATATCAAAACCTTCACATTTAAATAGTGGTGCTCTGATCTTATGCAAATCTCTGAACTCTACAGGAACCATCCAGACAACACCCTTTTCTGGAATGACCCTAATGTTCTCACTTTTTATATTTTCTTTAATATATGCAAAATAAGCATTATCCCAAGGAAGCAATGAGGATATAAAATGAGGTTCAGCAAATATTAAATTTATGTTGTGTATGCAATTTTGAATTTTATCTGCATGATCTAATATTGTTACATTATTAAATTCATTGTGCGATATATAGTTTTGAATTGCTTTGGATGATAAATAATTACTCTCCAATACATAGACATGTTTGGCACCCATTTTTGCTGCACCTAATCCTAATAGTGAACCATCGCTTAGTACTAGGCATACTGTGTCTTGATTTACATGTTCTCTTAAAACTTTTGAGTACAATTTATTTCTTCGTCCATCATTAATTTGACCAATTCGAGTTCTTGAATAAGCACAATGCATCATACACTCGCATATCGGTGCTTTAAAATCCAAACTGGTTGGTGGTTTTGATAATGGTAATACATTGAACCACATTGAATATTCATCATGAGAAAATAATAAATTAAAATATTCATTATGATTAAGTGCTACTTCATTAGGAATATAATAGAGAGCTTGCATCCAATGATCTCTCCATGGAATAGTTTCTTGAGGATATTTGCCATTTTTAACATCAGGATGAGCCCAAAAGGGTGCGCAGCTAAGAAGTATTTCTTCTAGAAATGATGTGATGAATTTCAATTAGTATATTCTTATAAAATTATTCATAGCTATCATTTCATTATTGTAATTTCTTACTTCCTTCATCCATTGATAATGTCCACCACATGAAAACAAGTTGTGCAATACCATTTGCTTTACTTTGGGTTTTAATTGCTAGAGAATTATTCATTTTCAGTTCAGTTTTTCCTGACCAATCAAATGTTACTACAGGCACCGGATCAGATAATAAAGTCACCTATAGAAAAAGATTATTCAAGAAAAATATTTTACAATAAACATGTTCATTCCCTTTAGTATTACTTGGCTAAATGGAATTTGCGATAACTGTATGTCATGAACAGCTGCTGACCCGGCACAATTTTGAACATTATGTGGAGTTTTAATAATAATTTCCCCATCGGCATCTGCTAAATCCTTCAATTTATGCCATGAATGAGCTATAGGGCATTGCACAACTTGAGCATAAATTGTTCCTGAACATGGTATTACGATAGAATCCTTTTCTAATAAGTACTTATGTGCATGAATAAAAGTTCCAATAGCTCCTTCACCTATACAGAACCAAAGCAATTAAAAATTTATCAAATTTAGCTAATCAATGTAAAATACCTATTAACTCAGTATCAAAAACTTCTGTGACAAGAATATTAGCCCTCTGTTTCATATCGTAACTATCACCCACTATTATTTCTGTTGATCGTTTAGGAATTATCTTAATATTTTGGGAAAAACCATTGTTTTTAATAATATTGGCGGCACAATTTGCCATTGGTTTGAAAGACTCACAAGCAGTCACTGAATCTGCACCACATCGAACAGCCATCATTGACAACAGGCCTGTGCCTGTACCTATATCTAAGACATTGGCCTTTTTTCCTGATGAATGCATTTTATCTATTGCACGTTTTAGAGCCAATTCATATTTCTGGTTTCTCTCAGTGTCATGAAGCATATCAGCAAAAGCTGATCTAGCAACTTCTTGATGATAGTCATAATTCTCTGGTTCTTGTTCCCACTCACATTTACCAGTCAATGGATTTAATCTTTGAGCAAAAATACTCATATTAGAAAATTTTGTTCCAGGCGTTTTTGAAAATATTGTGCAATGTTTTTGCAATAGTTTTTGTAACAAAACAATAGAAGACTTTTTGGTTTTCGAGAAAAACATTTACTACATCTAATGATCTAATGTATACAGTATCATAACCTTAAAAATTGAAATTGCATGCGTCTGGCACACGATCCTCCTCGTAGTGATATTGACAGGTACATGAATCCTTCAGGCAGTGTTGCCAACATTAAAACATAAAACCAAAAGCGTAAATATAAAGGCAAGTGCACCAACAACGAAAAGTAAAAACCTAGTGGCATCAACTAAAACTAGAACACCATAAACATCTAATTCTGATCTAGGTGAGACACTAACTCTGATAAAAGTTTTAAAAGATAACCATAGATACATAGATAAAAGAAGAGCATAGATAAATAAGGTGGTTTTGGGCTGGGTGGTTTATAGTAATCAAAATCTTATTGTGTAACACTCGATTGTCTAGGAAGTTTCATTGTTTCGTTTTCATTATATAAAAAACTTTTTATTTGTTAACGAGAAAAAAACGGTTGAGTAATACGGTTTACCGAATTATCGCTTATTATTTTTTTAACCATCCATAGATAAAAATACATCTATATGTGACTAAGTAAATATACTGAGTGACGCTTTGTATACGTCAAATTTATAAGTTTGTGTTTTGTCGTGGTTTTTGAGCAAATACTTTTGAAATGTAAATATACAAGTTGTTGGTATTACCTTTCGATATAGTTTGCTTTTAATTTTGTATGATTCACACAGGTATAATCGTGAGCGAAATGGACGAGGAGGTGGAAGTGGAGGCCATTTTCGTGGTGGTTCAGGAGGGCGTTCAACTTCTGTGAGATCCACTGCAACTCGTTTCAGCGGTGCCAGATCTTCTACCGATCGTGGCAGTAGTGGCCGTAGTAGTAATAGAGGAAGCTCTAGAGGTAGTATGGTTCGCAATGGAGCTCAAAATAGAGAATCCTTCAAAGACAAGCAGCCTGGTGATAGATTGCGCAAAGTTAGATGGGACAGCTATGAACTACAACCGTTCCGGAAGGATTTCTATCAACCACATCCAAGTGTTGTTAGTAGACCTGCAGAAGTAACAGAAGTATTTCGTAATAAAATGGAAATAACTGTTAAAGGTAACAATGTTCCCAGCCCCAATATATATTTTGAAGAAGGTAACTTTCCTGATTATGCTATGTATGAAATAAAGAAGCAAGGATTTGAACAACCAACAGCTATTCAAGCTCAGGGTTGGCCAATTGCACTCAGTGGCAGAGATATGGTTGGTATAGCACAAACAGGTTCTGGTAAAACTTTGGCTTATATATTACCTGCCATAGTTCATATTAACCATCAGCCGCGACTTCAAAGAAATGATGGACCAATTGTTCTAGTTTTGGCACCTACTAGAGAATTGGCACAACAAATACAGCAAGTAGCAAATGACTTTGGCCAATCTGTACATGTTAGGAACACATGTATATTTGGTGGAGCACCAAAAGGCCCACAAGCAAGGGATCTTGAGCGAGGTGTTGAGATTGTTATTGCAACTCCAGGTCGTTTAATTGATTTTCTTGAACGAAACACTACTAATTTACGACGTTGTACTTACTTAGTATTAGATGAAGCAGATAGGATGTTAGACATGGGTTTTGAACCTCAAATAAGAAAGATAATTGAACAAATTCGTCCAGACAGACAAGTACTTATGTGGTCTGCTACTTGGCCAAAAGAAGTTCGCAATCTAGCTGAAGAGTTTTTACATAATTATATTCAGATTAATATAGGGTCTTTGAATTTGGCTGCAAATCATAACATATTGCAAATTGTTGATGTTTGTGATGAATATGAAAAACAGAACAAATTAACAAGATTGCTTACAGAAATTTCTTCCGAGTCAGAAACTAAAACAATCATTTTTGTGGAAACAAAACGAAAAGTGGATGAAATAACTCATGCAGTTTGCAGAATGGGTTGGCGGGCAATGAGTATTCATGGTGATAAAAGTCAGCAAGAAAGAGATTATGTTCTAAACTCATTTCGAAATGGCAAAGACGGAATCTTAGTAGCCACAGATGTGGCTGCTCGTGGTTTAGGTAAGCAGAATGGTAATAGCAAGTCAGGCGGTGCTCAGGTGAAACAGTGTGTCGTGTGTAAACCGAATGGCGTGGCAATGGCTGTTCTTCGCCAGACTGGTTCCTGATTAATCCCATCAATCAGTCATAATAGTCTTCAGCAATACGTTATTTGGTTTCAATCTAGTTAAGCCTATCTTTATCTGATCATTTCAGATTCTCGATTAGGATTTATTGATATTGTAATGAGCATGAGGTTCAATATTCTGAATATGAGTATTGTAATTATTTATGTACAGAATAAGCATTGTGAAATTTCACAAGGTCCAGTTATGTATATTATGTATTAACAGTCAAGTTATGTATTAACTTGTGTTCATGCTATATATGATGCAAATTATGTAATCAGTCTGGTCGCTTTCACAGAGTTATATGTTAGTGACATAGGCAAATTGAGGTCAACTGCCTGTATGTTACCAGCAAAATGAAGATGGTATCTGTGTCCCAATGTGATAGTTATAACACAGCAGCCACGTTTTTTCAAGCTATCGCCACACAATACTCACCTATATCGTCTGACTCAAAAATAAATGTTTGCATTAAATTGAAACATGTGTAATGAGTGAATTTTGGTTTATAAGAAGTAAAATGGGAACAGCAAACTATAGTTGAAATATTGTAGCAAAATAAATTCAGGTAAATAGTTTAGAACACACAAAAGTGTTTTCTATATTATATTTGTGTGATATTGTACAAATTTGTACAATTTTTAAATGTGTTATATATACACACTTTTACAATTCATATTATCAGTTTTTTTTAAATATATTAAAGACAATCTTTTTATATTATAATATTAATAATTCTTTTTTATCATATTATCTTAATAATTTCGATGTCCATTACACATTATCAGTGTATGCAATCTTCTTATATCATTCATATTTTTATAAATTAACTTGATAACTATTATATAGATGTCGAAGATGTTAAATTTGTGATAAACTATGATTACCCATCTAATTCTGAGGATTATGTGCATCGGATTGGCAGAACAGGCCGTTCACAGAAAACCGGAACAGCCTACACACTATTCACAGTACAAAATGCAGCTAAAGCTAATGATTTAATTGCTGTGTTACAAGAAGCAAATCAGGTTGTCAACCCCCGATTATTTGACCTAGCAAAAGCTGGAAGTGGTTTTGGAAGAAGTAATTATAATTTTTGAATTATTTAATTCTTGAATGCATATCTTTTTCTAGCAAATTTAGTTTTTTTTTGTTTTAATTAGTAATTAACCAAATATAGTTTTTTCAAATTATTGCAATGCAACAAAAATTATTTACTCTTCGAATTTAACTATAAAAGAAAATTATTGCAGATAGAGGTCGATTTTCAAAATCTGGTGGTATGCCTGCAAGAAGAGATTTTGGACGCTCACAAAATAATAATCGTAATTCCAATACAAATTCACAGCCATTTACGCGTGGTGGGAATTCTCGATATTCAAATGGGGGAGGTTCTAAAGAAGAATGGAATAGTAGAGGAAATAAAAGCTATAATAATGATGTATCTACAAGATCCACCAGGAATTCATATGATCAAAATACTAATAATTTTCGAGTATCATACACAAACACAAGCGTACCTCCCCCTCCTTTAGGAAGTTTTCCAAACCGATCTACAAATGGCACTTATGGAAGTTCAACAAATGGAGTATACAGCATTGGAAATTCCGCATCAAAATATTAATTCTGCACCTAATATTTTATATTTTGCTATATCTTTAATTTAATCAATATTATACTTTATTTTATAGAAGATAATTATATAGAGGTATTTAAGTTTTACATTTTGAATAGTTTTATTTTTAATTTCTTTTACAAATACAATGATTTGATAAATCTACAATAAGCAGTTTTTACTTTATTTAATGAGAAGGAGCTTCTACTTGATCTTTGGATTGGTATCCCAATTGTTCCTCTGGAGTGTGGGGCCAGAACGTTGGTTTGTTAACAGCATCCAAAGCCAAGTCAGGATGTGCATCATGGAAGTCTTCCAATGTCATGCTTTCATATGGCAACAAAGCCTTAAGCCTTTCCATATCAGCTTGATATCTAAGTAATTTATTAATTTATAAGTTGAATAATTCACTTATTAATAATGCTAATTTACTTACTTTGTAATACGATCATTAGACTCCTTTTTGAAAGTTTCTATTTCTGCCTTGACCTGCCGTTCTTGTTCATCAACTTTAGAAGTGTAATTATCGGCTGGATATGGGACTTTCAGAGACTCGTATTGTTTTTGAAATTCGGCTACCATTCCAGGCACACTCACAAACTTCTTATAAAAGTTCCAATCTAAAGCTGGTGGATTTTCCGGATTCGCTGCAACCCTTCAATAATAGCACAGTTATTACGTGATTAACCTATGCTTAAATTCTGAAATTTTACCTCCTCATATATCCGTCACTTTTTACTTTGAAGGCCATTAAATTGGGTTTTTGGGCAGGTGGAACACGCTCGGCAAGAGCCGCCCAATTTACAGCAGAAGATGTTATTCTTTTTGCAGCCATCTTTGAGAATACCAAATTTCACAGAAACAGTCCGTCTCACGTCTTACGTCAAATCGAGTTATGCAACTGACATGAACTTGTTGCAAAATAAGTAGCAATGTCATAAACTGCATAATATGAACTGTTAAAACTTCTTCATTAGTTTTTCAATCCCTGCTAAGCGTATAAGACATACGTAGATAAATAAACATAATATATACGTTTAAAAATCACTAATTCTCAAAAAAAAAAACAATCATCAAAATCTCTTTATCTTTCAAAATTTTGCAAACAACTTGCATATGTTTCATTACTGCCAACATAAAATTATTACTTGATTTATCTCTGTTTATTTCTACTAAATTAGTTTTAATCTGAATTCAATAGAGCTAGTTTGATTTGTACTGTCGACAGGAAAATTAAAAAAAATATGAATGATCCTGTTCAAATAATTTTATTATGTTAATAAACTTTTGAACTGCCAATATAAGTACTACACATGTAATAAAATGTCTTACAATCCTAGGAGTCTTTACAATGAATTTCAAGTAAATTTTAACGTCCTCGAAGATGTAATATCAGACATCGACTCAAAATTAAATGTAATAAAAAACAATGGATCGCTAGACTTGGGTGAGTATCCGATATTGACATTTTCATAGTATAAACAAATATATGATGATTCAAAGTAGTGCAGGATAAATATTCAATATTACAGAATCAAATCAAATAAAAATGAGTGATGAAAAAATTATAAAAACTGAAGATGGTGCAGTTGTTAGAAAAGTGTTTGTAACAAATATAGACAGAAGTGTATGTATGAAATATATATATATATATATATATATATATATATGTATTGGTATTTGTAAAATTCATAGTTAAAATTTTTAAAGGTGAGCAGGAAGGATTTAACAATTATTTTTGAAAAATTTGGTCCTATACATGATGTTTTCATAAAAACCTGTGATTCGGCTGCTGGGACAAGAATTAATGTGACATTTGGATTTGTAACATTTTATAATCCAACCAGTGCCTATAAGTGAGCTCAGATTAATTATTTATGCAAACTCATCATGTTTTATATTGTTTTTTATATTTTAGTGCTATAAAGTATGAGAAACCGCTTATGTTGAAACATAGGAGGCTTAAGGTAAGGCCAGCAGATACATGGCATCAACCTGTTGTGAGAGCAAATGGAGAATTGAACTATGATATTGGAATAAATGCTATTGAATCATCACTGCCTTTAAGAAGAGAAAAATATACTGGAGCAATTAAAAAGACATCTCATCCAGAAGCAACTACTTCAAACAGTTTGCCAAATGATGATAAAATAGAACAAGTTTCAGAAATAATGACATCAGCTCATATAAATATTTTAAATGATGATTGTTTTACACAGCTGTTTTCTTATTTCACACTGTTTGAATTAATTGAACTAGAACAAGTTTGCATCAGATGGCATAATACAATTAATTTGATTTGGCAGAGAATTCATCGCCTATGTACTGATGATCTTATCAGTCAATTGAATTCACCAAAGTTAACTACAGATGCTATGAGAAGACTTTTAGTCAGATGTGGACCATATTTAAAATCATTAAAGATATCATCAGACAAACATGCTTTTAATTCTCGTATTCATCAAGTAATATCCAAGTCATGCCCGCATCTGGAAACTTTACACTTATCTGGAGTTTCTTCTAACGCTCCTGGTATATTAGCTTTATCAAGAGGATGCAAGAAACTAAAAACTATACTGTTCAAAAATATTCCGGGTGTTCAAGATCATATTCTTCAAACTTTGTTCAAAGAAAATGCAAACTTAGAAAGTGTTCATATTGAGGGTGGGTCAGCCATAACTGGTAGATGTCTTAGGGCTCTTTCTTTCGGCATACATGAGATATCTCTAATTAATTGCAATAGCTTACAACTAAAAGAACTGAAAGTTGCCTTCCGAAATATGAAATATTTAAAATCTTTAACATTTGAATCCTGTATGACTTTAACATCCAACTTTTTGGTTGATGTAGCAGATTGCTTTCCTAATTTGGATAAATTTTCTTTGAATAAATACTATCCTTTGATGCACAATAAATCCTTAAATCCAATAGTTAAAATGACGAATATAACAGTGTTATCATTCAGTATGAATACATTAGTTTCTGATACTCTATTAGAGGAACTTTCTCAAAAGTGCATAAATGTGACCTCATTAGATTTATCAAGCTGCAGTCGAAACGACAGAAATTTCACAGTTGTAGGGCTTCACCATCTTGCCAAATTTCCAAAATTGAGTAAGGTATATCTCAGTTATATGGAAATAGTAACAGGTGATTCATTAGAGCCTTTGGCAAATAGAGGTAATCTGATTCATTTAGAAGTTCGTGCTTGTCTGAATTTGTCTGATGCAGGGCCTATAAAAGTATTTGAAAAATGTAATAAATTGGAGGTAATTGTCAATTTAATTCATAAATTGATTTTATATAATTTATAATTGTTTTCAATAATTATTATTATTCTAGTCAATGGACATAAGCGGTTGTGATATGATTACGATAGAAATTCTAACATATGTATTAAATATGATTAAGTCTAGAAATAATAACCAAAAATTGAAATTAATAATTGGTGGTTCTGGAATAACAGATTTTGTGGAATTTGTAAGTATTTATATAATGTTTGATTATTTATTATGCACATGCATTAACAGTTTAATTTTCAATTTTTACAATTTAATTTCAGAAAGAAGAAACAGAACGCATAAAGAATCGCTTTGCACACCCTAATTTAGAAATCAACTTTGAAAACTTAAGCGTGCTTTATTTAAGGCCAGATTTTTTTGATGATTATTTTCCAGATTCTGATGATGACTTAGATATGTTAGATATGGATTATGACGATGAAGATGATTTTGATGACGATGATTTTTTCATAATTGAACCTGAAGATAATTTTCCTTATTTTGCAGCAGGTGCACTTTTTAATGAATTAATTGATGATTTTCTATCAGATGATGATTATTACTAATGGTTTTTTTTTGTTCTTGCAAATTTATATTTAATTTCTTTTTCATAATAATAAACGAGATAATCAAGTATGTATTTTTTCTTTATGCTCTTATTACATTTGCAAAAAAAATACCACATAACAATTTGCAAGAGGAATTTAAACATGTAACTATATAATATATATGAATAATTTGTAAGTAAATAATTTTTAATGTAATAAAATGTTTTTTAAAATTTTTCATTCAAGTTTCTTTTGTGTTTGTATTCGTTGACATATTCATAATATTATTCCTTACAATTACAATACATTTCTTGTGCATAATATCTAGAATTTTTATAATAAATATTTATATTCTTTTTCTTGTACAAAAAGACCTCCATGACGACCCCTATTCTCGACTCTCAATGAAAAGGATTGTAAGACTCAGGTTTGTGCTCTGAACAGCAACTTCTTATATCTCGGCACTAAATTAAAATCTGACTATTATAATGTAATGTTTAATTTGAAAAAACAACATGCAATACTGTCGCAAGCAAAATATTAAAAATAGTAATCTAAATTAGCTTGATTGTTATTGTTAAATTAAAAATGCCGGATTATCATTTAAAATGCTGTGAATCTACGCACACAATTCATATAATATATAAAACATGTTTGTAATTATTATTTATTGGCGTAAATTTAATGAAATTTTAACTTCCCGTAGGGTAAGTTATAGTAATCGCAAAAAGATGGAAAATGAAAATTTATATATCTTTATACGTTTCAAATGTTTCGGAATATTTGGCATACTTTAGAAAAAATGGACGCGTGTGTGTGCGGATACAATTTTTCGTCGACGATTTCGGGAATACCGATCAACCGATTTGAATAATTCAAAAAACATTCGATTCGTATTTATAAGGAGACGTGCTGATTAGTTTTTGGTATAAAAAGAAAGTCAAACTGATCGGGTTCGAATCCCACGTCTGTAATATTTAAAAAATAAGGATTAATACTAGTATAAAAGCTTTTTATGTTATGATTATATAAACAACGTCGTCTAATCTAATACGTTTTCAGATTTTGTCTACAAAGAACAAATCATGAAGTTTTTATAATATTTATTCATAGACATTTTTGTTGACTGATTATTTTTATTCTTCGAATGCTTAATTACGGTATGGGAAGTTCGAACAATTTGCCTTAAGGCACGATGCCATGCGCCCCACAAGTTATTTATGTATTTAATTAACAATTTTTCTCAAAAATATATAACGGTAAAATAACGGTTAGATTTTGTTAATAATATTAACTGGCGCCATCACACAATGCGTGTGCACACTTATTTACTCTTCTTTTATCTATGTTGATGACTGTAAGTTGTCAAAGATAAAAGAGATAAACCATAGATAGATATATTCGTGTCTAATCTGCTGCACGTCATCATCATGTGTTATGACTTGTTTATTATTAAATAATCGTCTGTCAAGTGTTGGCAATGAATTTAATTTGTATATATGGATAAATGTGACTCCTCTTTTATTATTTCATTCGAAGATGCTACTTTTTCAGTAAACATCAATATAATTGTAAAATGCCACAACTTTGACAATAGTGTCGCCTAGTTACACGACTGGGCGTACACATGGCTGCAATTAGTTGGTGAAATTTCATTCATTACAATATATTATTTGTTTTTATATATATTTCATGTAGAACTTTTATAGGTATCACACCTCCAACAATGATGCAAGTGATACGAATTCTGGTGTTACAACAATTAGATTAAGTTCTCTTGCAGATGTTCAATTAAGATTTTTGTGCCCTGGTGATTTAGAGGAAGTAAGTGAAAAAGGGAGCCAATATTGTGAAGTAACAATCTTAGAATAAGCTATAATTAATAAATTTCAGGTTCGAGCATTATGTCAAGATTGGTTTCCAATCGATTATCCACAATCATGGTATGAAGATATTACTTCTAGCACTCGGTTTTATGCTTTAGCTGCCGTATTAGATTCGGAAATAGTAGGATTGATTGTAGCTGAAATAAAATCTTACTCAAAGTTAAACAAAGAGGTTTGCTTAATAATATATTTAAATATAAAGCATTAACTTATTTTCTGCTAATGTCATAGAGCATACATTTTATTATCTATCCACATATCAGTTTAAAAAACCTTCTTCATTGAATGCGTTTTTGTATGCTACATTACAATATTATGCTTTAAACAATATTTTCAGCATTTGATATAAGTTTGTATATCCTAATTAATATTTGTGATTTATAGGATAGAGGTATTTTGCCATTAACTATGGGAAGAAATGCAGAAGTAGGATATATATTATCATTAGGAGTGTCTAAGCAACATCGACGAAATGGAATTGCTTCCCTGTTGCTGGATTCATTAGTTTGTCACTTAACCACAGCTGAAAGACATAACGTTAAAGCTATATTTCTACATGTATTAACATCCAATGCTGCTGCTATTCTATTTTATGAACAACGAAGGTTCAATACATTTTTAATTATCTAGTAATATTGTATTATCCTAATAAACATTTTATTTTAGGTTCCATTTACATTCATTTTTGCCATACTATTATTCCATTAGAGGCAAATGTAAAGATGGATTCACCTATGTATCATATATCAATGGAGGTCATCCACCATGGGGTCTATAATATCCTTTTAGAATATTTTGATCTTTATTTATTGATCTGTTTTCTTCATTATGTGGTTTCACCATAATTTAATGTTGTAATTAACAAATTTCTTATTCTTATCATCTTCATTATTTACCTTAACTTCTGTGCAATGACTACATAAAGCATTTTTGTGGAATGGCATTAAATGCTGGGGGATTATGTCCCTGGATAGGCTCAAGAATGCGAGGAGCTATTCGTTGGTTTTTTCAGCAATCATCATCAAGAATCAGCTTTGGGCATTGATTTTCCTATTCAAGACTCATCACTGGAATAGCTTTATTAAATGTTGTGATCAGACTATATATGTGCTACCATAAAAAAAGTTTTCTTGCATGATATTAAGATAAGAATGATACCAAAGTGCCGGAGCTGTATTTAAGGTACATAAATATTTTATATATAACTCAATAATTTTTTAAGTCCGATTCAGCATTTGCAAGTATGTCAAATAAGTAATACGGTAGAAAAATTTGCTACAATATACAATTTAAAAAAGAACTATTTTCTTAAATATCATTAAAAAAAACTGGTATTTATGTTTGTCAAGTTACCATAGTTTTAATAACAATAAGTTAATAAAAAAAATGAAGATAAATCAAATTTGTAATTTCATACACTCAATATTTGTGAAATTATAAATTCAATCATTTATTATTTATCCACCTTTTATATTCCTTTATGAAATGAATGAACATTTTGCTCTGTACAAATTATTATTGAAGTTATATACAATCATTAAATGTAATATTAAATATTTAAAATTTTATTAGTCAATCATGCTAAATTTATTTATTTATTATGTGTATATATATATATATATATATATATATATGTGTGTATTATGCATATACATATACATAATATAAATTTGCTATCTTTTATTTATTGAATGCAGATGTAATAATGTTTAATTATATTAAAAATATATTATTGTTTCATATAAAATGTTTTGCATTTAAGTTCTTTACTCATTTTATAAGGATATTATGATTTTTATGATTTGGAATTAGTCAGCGTGTGTGCATATATATATATATATATATATATATATATATATATATGTATATATATATATAAAGGGTCCGCCATATAACTTTTTTTTATTGGTAGCAATTTAGAATTTTTGACAGCCATTAAAAAGTTAGACAGCCATTTCAATGAAATTATTTTCGATTATTAACCAGAAGGGTTGCACTTTCAAATAGGAAAGATTTAAATTGATAAAATATTCAGTTTATATATAACATTTTCAAAAAAAAAAAAAAGTTATCTGACGGATCCTATATATATATATATATAATGTATGAATGCTAGTCCACCCATTTTATTAGCAAGCTAAAATAATAATATTATTTATTTAAATACAAATGTGACCCACGAACAATTAATATAACTAACCATGTTGTATTACAACTATTATGACGAAAATATTTGATAAACATTTTTTACTATGAATATATACTAAACGAATAATGATTTCTCAACATTGATAACTTTGAGATTTGAAATGTAACATTAATAATGTAATATATAAAATCGTATTTTCTCTATACAATTGCGCTACTCCCACCTTAGATTATATAGATAACATCGAAAAATACGCATGCATGATAATGTCGGCTAATGTCAAATTTTCATTCATTTTGCTAAACTATCATATCATAACCTATAAATTTGTCTAGTAGCGCATGCGCAATTTATTTCGTCTCATGTTCGGCGGTAATGCAGAAGGTGTTTTACTTTTGAATGTGAATGTGTGCTGTGAATGTGTAGTTAAGGTTTTAAACAATTTAATTAAATTTAGTAATAATGTACAGTTTATTTTATTTGTGCACTTTTATCTTAAGTTTAGGTGTAATTGAAACAAATACTTGGGGTATGTATCTTCAAAATTATGTAAATTTATTAATTCACGTAACTATACTTCTTTCCAATTCTGACTTTTACGAAATAATTTTTTAAGATTATTTACTAATAAAATACTAGCCTAAACAAGATTGATTTTACACAATTTCTAATATATTGTTCATTCAGTTTAATTCAAACATTTGTCGATAGTGAAGATCTTATTTTGGAAAGCAGTATAACAGCCATGTAATAAGTAGTAGTTGTCACGTAGGCCAATCGTTCGAGCAAACCGTCTACAATTTAAAATTTTGATTTATTTTTTATGCCAAATTATTACATTTATATGCTAATAATAAAAAAAAAAACATATTAATATTAACTTTAATATTTATACGAATATTTTCAGTCAATAATTAATTTAAATATTTTTACCGGATAGATTTTATAATAAACATTTAAACTATAAACCCATTATAAACCAATTATCATAAAAATAATTTAAACTGATTTGTTGTCTTTCTATTTGATAATCGTAACAAATCGTTTTATTATCAAGCGGGCTTCAGATAATAATGCAACGTTAGTATAATAATATAACAATCCATATATTTTTTCTGATTTCATAATTCCGATATCAATTTATACATAATAAAATAAATCCATTTCAAATCATTATAAATCTATAAGATACTATTCGTATAGCACGTGCTTTCCAATTACTATGTATTTAGTAGAAGTTCGAGGTCAATACAATGAATTTGACTCTATTTATAAAATTCATACGTATTTGCCAAAAGAGTATTTCAAATATGGTTGAGACATGAATAAACATTAAGTTGATATATTTACGCAATACAATATAAATAACGTTTTTTTTGATTTACTACCTTAATTAAATTTTATCTATTCTGCATTTTCAAATTTATTTAGAGATTGACGATCATTTCACATTTATGATATAATACACAAGCTGATAAGCGTTTAACGTCTCCCCATCAGTAGGAATCGAATGTTTTTCTAATATTGCAAAACGGTTGATCCGTGCGCCCGAAATCGTGGACGAAAATTTGTATCCACACAATACACACACCCCCCCGATTTTTCTTATGTATGCCATAATATTCAGAAACCTCTAAAACGTTAAGATATGCACATTTTTTATATTTTTGGACGATTTCTATAACTTACCCTACGAGAAGTTAAAAACTAATTAGATAATATATAAAATGTGAAAATGTAAATATGCAATCGCATAAAATTTGCTCTTGATGATAATAATGGATAAAGGAGATCCAATCAATCAATCAAAGATAATCAATCTGAAATGTATGGTAATAACAGAAATAGTTCGATTTTTATATAGATTATATAAGAATATTAATAGTTACACATTAACACAAAACTTTTATATTGAATCTGTGTAAACTTTGTATCATATAGTCCGAATTTTTATAATAAAAACGAATGATTTTGAACTAAAAATAATATAAAAGCTTTTAATAAAAATGCTTTTGTTTATTATTTGTCTATTTTTGTATGTTTTACAAATTTGTACGAAAATAAATAATTTTAATATTGTATAATAGCTAAAGCTTACATTATTAACTACAGCAGAGGCTTCCAACCTTTTCTCCAAAAACGGCTGGATCGATTTCAAAAATTTAAAAGCCATTCGATGTATCTCGATGAGGACTAGCGTTTCTCAGTTTTGAGCGACGATCGGCCGAGCCGTTTCTTTTAAAGTGTTGAGCTTTTCGTCCTCATTTAAGCTCATACTACCGAATCGATTTTGAAAAATCAAAAACTGTTCGAGAGATATTAGTTCGGAATGATACTGGTTAGTTTTAGGTGAAAATCTACCGAGCCGTTTTCTTGTACATAAGTGTTGAAAAAAAAATTAAGCCAATTTTCATGGAACTTTTTTTGGCGATATATATCATGGTCTTATAGAACTTACTGAAATATTACGGTCTTACGACAAGTAGTTTAATTTTAAAAATTCATCGAAGTTTGAGAAAATGAATAGTTTTTTTGATGTTTGTTAAAATTAAAATTAGACGATAGAGTACTTGGTCTTAATGAACATACTAAACCATTAAAGTCTTACGGAAACTGATTCAATTATAAAAATTGTTGATTTTTAAAAATTGGCTTTTAGAAAATACTCCGAGTTAACGAGTTCGTTCGTTTTCAATTATGTGTAATAAATCCATTCGGTGTACTTTTAATTACTCATAAATTAATTTATTTTTTATTGATTAAGTCGATTATTTACACATATCGGGAAGTTCATGTAACTTGCCTCAAGGCAAAATACCAATACCAACTAGTTTTATGTTTTGTCATACACGCCTTAAACCATTGCTATAAAATAAATAGAATGTTTTACAAATTTGTACAAAATTAAATAATTTTTAATATTGTATAATTTCTAAAGCTTACACTAATATTAACTATGATACCTTACAGCAGTGATTTTCAACCTTTTCATAACGCTACTCCAGTTTTTTATAAATGCTCGACTCTTTTCTAAATACTCAACTGATCTTATAATTTATTTAACGGGCTACAAAATAATTACATAATCTTGTATATATCATGTAATAATTCGTTACGCCCCCCTGAGGTACAACAGGGCGCGCGCAACAGGTTGGAAACAGCTGATAAAATAAATTTGGATCGTAATTTGATAATAATCATAGATAATAACCGTGCATTTATTTATTATATAAACGGTTTGGGTAACATGAATGAAATATTTTGCCAATTTATACAGAAATAAATAATTGTAATAGTCAGAGATCAACAAGTATAAGTAATAGTAATTGTTACATCCTCTTCTTTTATCTATGGTAATACATCTATAAGTAATATTTAAATTTTTAGGTCCTCTAATTTCTAGATCACTAATTCTAATTAGTGACCTCTAATCGACAACGAAGTAAATTTCTTGGCCGAAAAATCTTTTAAGTGCTGTTATTTAAATATAATTATAACTAACAAATCATTAACCAATAGAAGTGTAAATATTTGAATAAGTTAAAAATGTGCCATAAACTAGTTAATGCATTTTTTTCTATGTAAGTTTCTAAATACCAATTTTCAGTTTTTTGTGTATTTATTTGCATAAGGTAGCTTTACCATGGTATAGAACAAATTACTTAAATAATTTGTAATTACTTAACCCCGCGGTTTCCAACCTGTGGGGCGCGTACAGCTGTTTGCAGAATGCTATTTTCAAAAATAACCCAACATTTTTGAAATGCTATTAAAAATTGAACAAAAATAATAATTAGTTTTTATGCATATTTTTACATAATATTACATATTAATTTGTAGTCTGATAGTATCAGTTGAGTATTTATAAAATTAAATTGTTGAAAAAAAATTAAGGGGGGTCCGGTTCGAAAAAGGTTGGAAACCACTGACTTAACTTCTTATATAAATGCGATTATCTCATTTTTTTAGGATGACGATAGCCAATCGATGTGAAAAATGTAAATCGATTAAGCATATTATTTAATCTGAAATAAAATGATTTAGAGCCTTGATTTGCAATTTAGAACTGTGCGAATCAGCAGCCATGAAGGATAAATAATCGCACTCTCACTATTCTTATTATAATTTCTCTATTTATTAATGCAATCATGGTTATTCTGCTGGATACATGTGTATTGGTACATATATATATATATATATATATATATATATATATATATATATATATGTCGTAACGCAATATATATCCTCTAAAATTTATTTGAGCAAGTACAATTTATGTTTTTTGCAGCGTTTTTATAACAAGGTTTCTTGAATGGATTGTTTTTTATTTTATACATATCTCGTTCAAAATTTAACTATATAACTTTAATATAACATTAAATATTAAATATTTTATATTTTACAATATCAAATGCACTATCTTACGTAAAACGCATCTTTGCTTTGTGATTTTTAGAATACAAATAATAATTTTCTATTGATCCTTATTTTAAAACAATATTAGATAATATTTTGTGAAATTTTTGATAGGTAATATAAAAAATATGTTTAAAATAAATAAATAAATTACCGCATTATTCATTTATTTTCCTAATAGTACTTTATAGTTTTTCGAAATGTATGAACATTTTATTTCAAATTTGCTCAATTTTAATATTTTAATACTAGTTTCCAGTACACGAAGAAATTTATACAAAATCAATATCAGGTAAAGGTCTAATCCAATTTGGGAACCTATTCTTTGTAGTGAGTCATTTCTATAAGTTTTACCAATTAAATGTTCATAAATTTCGAAAAAGTATAAAGTACTATTAGGAAAATAAATGAATAATGCGGAAATTTATTTCTTAACAGTTTTTAATTATTTATTTTAAACATATTTTTATATTGCCTATCAAAAATAACTTAAGTTATTAATCATAAATTATAAATATTGAACAATAAGGAATAGAAAGGATGAATTTAATGTTTTAATATTAAGTTATCAATTTAACAGGCTCCGTTTTCGATTCGAGGACCCAGATTTTTTTTTGCTGACATAGATAAACCCTTTGCAAATTGTAACAGACCCCTGGGAATCCATATAGACTACTTTGGGAATCACTGCTAAAAAACTTCACTTATGTGTTAATTATCCGAAGTAGAGTAGTTAATTTATCTTCACCAATGAGGTTTTTGAATATAATAAGTTCGACACCTAGAGCATATATAATGCGTATATTAAGACTAATTTAATGAGAATAATGCATATAAATTTATTAGCTTTTATTACTTGTTATTTAAATGTTAAAGTCAAACGTAAAATGGACTTTGTCCATGAATCAGCTACGTAATATTTGTTTATTTACACATATTTTTCTTATCTTATATATTATTTCATGTTAAGTTGATTAAAATCTCAATTCTCATACAGCGCTATTAGAGTTATCAGATTAATCCAATGCTGAAGTGTTGCGAAATGCAGCAATATTAAATAATAATTATTGATTAATCAGAACGACACTGCGATAAAATTTATATTTGCAC